ACACTCAAAAGAAAAGTAATTCTTTGGTGTCACTTGTATCTCAGCACAATATTAGTCATCTCAAGTAAAGATGTATAAATATAAAACAAAGTATGACCTTGTTATGATCTGGTTTATGTGAAATAAGGACTTATAACTCACTTTTTCTATTTAGTTAAATGACTTTGTGACAGCTTGCTTGTCTTTCTAAATTGTGCTCTTTTTTTAAAACTTTGCAGTCTCTTAAATTTCAACTCAATATTTAAACTTAAGGGGGTGTAAAATTACTATTACACACAATCATGTATTTAATTATGTAACTTTATGTAACTTTTAATAATTCCATTTTGTAGTATAGACATGGGTTCATTCTTTTGATTATTATAAAAGCGAATATTTCACTAAAGTCAAAATACAGTTTTTGTAGGCTTTTTTTTTTTTTTTTAAAGAAGAAATTAACTTTAAATTACAAAAACAACAAGCAACAGGCACTCCACATTATAACAGAGGCTAGAAGTTACATGTCTCTTTTTCCATGTTGTGTCTACTCAACTCCAAATGCAATGGTTTCCTTTGAGTATATTATAATAAATGTGTATAATAGAATAATATTTATATTTTCCCTACTGTTATCTGCTGCATATTTGCTGTAATAACAAGCAGAAATAGAACAACTTAACTGATAACAAAAGTTAGTGCAAAATGACAAGGAGTAGATTGGTGATAATACGTGGCAGAGAGTCCATTTTTAGATACATTAGATAAACTTACAAATCAATAATATCCCCAAAGCAAGTTTCTCGTTTATGGATTTTGCTCACAGATCTCATAAAGAAATTCAGTAAAAAAAATGAAATGTTTTAGAAAATAAAATACCCCAGTCATTTTCTTGACAACATTCTCACTATTCTTCTGTCTTAAAGGGCCTGTATTACACAATTTTCTGATCTATGTTATAATGTTGTTTCGTCATCACAAAAATACCTCATTCACACATGTTTAACACACAGACCCTGCATACTTAGACTGAGTTCTTATCTCAGATTGAAAACACTAATAGCATGTTGTAAAACAGAAAGTATGCCACTGTTTTTGAACTTCATACTCCTCCACTAGAATCATGTGGATTGCTTCAGCCAATCTTTACTGAACTAAAGGTAAAACGTAGCTGTTAATTTGAAAACTGCCGGTCCATGACATCACAAGGTGGAACAGAGCATTTTGAGCATTGGAGATGTAGACAGACAAATAATAAGGGATTATTCGAACATGTGTGAATGACTATGTATGTTTTTACAGAGGTAACAACATTCTAACATGGCTTAAAGCTCACAGGGGTAATTTTATTAATAACCTTTAAACTGTGTCACTCAGGAAGAATGTTGTTGTCATGGTTGGTTTCATCCGGAAGGAAAAGCAGAAGCAATACAGGTGTATGCCTCATTAGATCCCATTCAGGAAGGGGCCCTTATTGAGAACTGGGAGGTAAATATTTCCTTTGCTATTCAAACCCTTTTTCATGGATTAATGCCAGTATCCGAGGCATGCCGCCATAGTTTAGCCAGAAGTAGGCACTGGGAACGCCAAGAATGCACAGACTTTCTGTTTGCTTAGTATTTGAAAGGTCACATTGATTTTACATGCCATGGGTGGAAAATAATATTTTTAGTTGAGCTGTCCATTATGAAACAAGAAGAGGGTCAAGTGATGCTCAGAAACATCCGACTAAACTGTACTGTGTATTCAGTCATTATAATTGATTTAATATAGCAAATGAGAAGTGAACAGTAATATTTTATATCTTAAGGCAAACCTAACCTTAAAGGTGCACTATGAAACTTTTTGGTTGGGGGTCCATCACCTGCTTGTTTTTATGGAGATGCCGCTGCTCTGCTTCCACAGTATAATATTAAACATATACCTTACAAATCCGTATATCCTTCGTTCATTAGTTTTTCAAAATAAAACCAAAAATAAGAAAACAGTAAAAAGATATATTTTCTTCATTATTTGTCTCCATAACCAAAATGGAAAAATGGATAACGATTTGTTTTTTCAGTTTTCGATTTTGTGTTTAAATGAATAATGGAAAAAAAAAAAGGACCGAGACCGATTTAATCCTTGGTCAGTCCTGGTTCAGTCCTGGTTCAGTCCTGGTTCAGTCCTGGTTCAGTCTGCATGCGGCACAAAAGTCCGGCATTGCAGTTTAAGTCATGGAAACGGGAAACATTATCCCTTTTTTTCCATTATTTATTTAAACACAAAATCGAAAACTGAAAAAAGAATCTTTATCAGTTTTTTCATTTTGGTTTTGGAAACAAATAATAAAGAAAATAGATGTTTTTTCGTTTTCTTATTTTTGTTTTTTATTTTGAAAAACGAATAAACAAATGATACACGGATTCTTACATTTATTCAATTACAGGTGGTTTTATAGCTCAAAAATACCCAGAAAAACAGCCATTCTAACTGTGAGCAGGGTTGCCTCTCCACAGATCTGACCTGTAACTAGGTCTGGTTTGGTCTTCATGAAGATAGAAAGGTTTAATACTGTTAAACATTCCAGACAAAGCAATAACATCTCCATAAAGAAACGCATTTGATGGACCCTCCACCAGGAAAGTTACACAATGTATCTTTAAGTATTTTGGACTTGTGTGCTTTAATCGAGTAAAATAATCAGATACCAAATGTTGAAATTACAAAAAAAAATGAAATCCTAACCATAACTCAAGTTGTATAACACGTAGACGGTACAAATATTAGCAGCATTCTTGAATTTCAATTTGTACGTAGAATATAGGTCATACACTGTTAACTTTATGAGTAAACCCAACCCCAACCATTCCAAGAAAAACTGCTACAGTACACACTCACTGACCGGTTGGGACACCTAATACGTGCATGTACTTTTTAGTAAAAGAAAGCTGTTAATACGCAATTTGAAATATAATATAAGATAAGTAATACCAAAGTAAACACTGTGACAGTTAGTGTATGGTGAGCAATCAGATGTCAGTGTGCATTGACTCAGGGTGTCCTCTACAGCTGTTGGGTTACTGTCACTTCCAGATAAGCAAACAGATACTGTATCATGTGAGTGTAACTGACAGTGGTGAAATTGCAGTGTTTGAACTACATTTTGGTAAGAATGTGACCGCTACAAGCCATCACCAAAGTGTAATGTTTTGAAAGAGGATAGTAAGGTGTGGCTTCGTGGATCATTAAAAGCATCAACATTTCCTGGTATAAAATTTAAATTTAAAGAAATATGTTATGGCAACAAAGCAGCTTATTTCACTGTCTAATAATATCATGATTCCCTCAACGTGAAGACCTTTGTTTGAGGCTATTGTTCACATTCTCTCAGTCCAAAATAGACAATGAACAAAGCATAGCACAGATGCCTGTAGTTTTCCACAAAGACAGCCATCACTGGGATGGTGTGGGGTGGATGGATTTCACTATTTACTAAAACAACTTCTGTTAGTCAGTATTATGAAAACAACTACATGCTTTTTATGTTGCATAAATTAAATTTGCCTAAGGTCAATTAAGGACACCGCTGGCTGAACTTGCACTCTATTGGTACAGTGTCTGGGGTGGGGCTAGGTTAGATTTTTCCACAGATTAATGTTAATGTTAGTATATTTTCACTTATTTTAAGTTACTCATTCTCTTTGTATGCTCTTTCAGACAGAGCACTTTATACAAACCCCCTTCATGCCCACCTGTGACTCTCTGAAATGTATATCAGTTTCTGCAATGCTATGATGAATCACTGAGCCATGATTTAATACAGATCATGTTGAGTGAGAGTGATCAGACAAGCCCGTACCTGATCTGAATGCTTCATTTTCAAAAGGTCTTTTGTATTGGAAAAAATCTATAGTGTAACATCAACAAAATAACTGGAAAAATACACTATGCATGCTATAAATGTGTGGCATTTTCACTGGACTTGACCAATCCTCTTCTGGTACTGAGCAGATTAAAACCTCTGGGCTTTATGTAATCCTTATCAGAATAACATCAAAACCAAAATAGCAGTGGTCTCCACGGGGGTCTACAGCTATTTTTGTAATTGATGCATGAAGTACTTATAGCTAGTCTAGCTTTGTAGTTCTAATAGAAACTTTAATAACAACCTATAGTCAATATCGTGTTTAAAACGTTGAAAATTGCAGCTTTTACTATACAAAATGTATTAAATATTAGACAAAATGACACAACATAATAGTTTACTTTATCAAATCTTTATTCAATAGAAAAAACATACATAATAAAAATAACATATCTTTACATTTTAAAGCTTTTCAATAAAAAGCAGTCACAAGATTTATATTCTTTAAATATTGTCTATTGACTAGAAAAGTCAACAATAAAAATAAAATGTTATATTCTTTTTGAGAAAATTTCACAGTCCTGCAAATACAGTATAATAAAAAAAAAAACAGCTTTTGTTTAAGCTGAAATAAATCTAGTTTTTAACTTGAAATGTATATAATACACATTTATAATAGTGTCATTCTCGAAGCAAATGGTAATCATTGGAAATGACACATTTTATTCTTTTAACTAATAGTTTAAATATAAGTTACTAAATGACTTATATTAATATTATTAAAATAATACACACATTAAGACACATTGGCAAGAGTAAAAATCCCCTCACACAGATAGAAGTGCACTAAAAGGTATATGAGACACAGCATATACACAAAGCCTGGACATGTACTGTACTTTATCAACTAATACATACTGAACACAACTAAACCACTGATGACAAACTGATAAAGACGTTTAATGAGATCTGAGTTTTAATAGTAATGTTAGTTTGTATGTAAATTAATGAATATAAACATACAACTAATTCCCTTCAACAAGCTAATAAGAATTTAGTCGGGCAACAACAAATTTGATAACTCTAAAATAAAGTGACAGCTATAAAAATATCCAGTCTCATATAGTTCTTCTGCTACAGTAGTAAGTATGCTGTAACAAGCTAAAGACACTACACAAACAGGACAAATGCATATATTCAATAAGGCAAATTATATATATAATAAAACTACCGTATGTAAAATAGACATTTTGCAAGTACACAATGGGCATTGATAAGAAAGCTTATACAATACATTGGTATCAGTTACTACAAAGAGCTGTAAATATTACAGACAGTGCTTCTCAAATATATGAAAAGTTTAACTGTTTGGAACAGTGCCATTCTCTTACATGTATCTTCACAAAAACACAACTGTCCCCGTTAGTTCAGAGCAATGTTTAACTAAAGTGAGAAATAGACGAACAAAAAGATACCCACACAACAAACACACACTAGGAAAATGTTGAGAAGAAGTTTAACTCCAGGGGGTTCGTACAATAATTCTTGTGCAATTCTAATTTCATCCTGCACTACTTTTTGCTGAGTACTTTGTTTTCCATCTGTTTCATCTTTATATCCACAAAGCCAGTCCAGAAATCTAACACATGTATTGGTCTTCCTCTCCTTGAGCCAGCCCTCCTCTGATCCTCTTACAGTGTTTCCAAAGTGATCTGCAGGGGAGGTAACAGGGGACGCTTCAGTACTGGGAGTGGCTGGGTCATGATCAGTGGAAAGAACCAAGAGTTTAACATCAGCCCCATCAAGACACATTTGTTTGGAAACATCTAGGGGCACTTCTTTACAAGGACCACCACTGCTGCCATTGTGGGTCAGCCTGTAAATTTCCTCTCTGTCCTTTACTGGACGCTTTTCAAGGTTATGCAGGCCCCAGACTGTGGTTGTCCTAACTTGCTCCTCATCTGGTGGAGAGGTGCACAGACTTACAACTACAGCCACAAAACCTGAAATCCAGAAGAGTGTGGCTGCCACATACATGTAGTGTACCTGACTAACGAAGAGAGGCCTAGTGTCTGGCTGGTCACAGCGACCTGCACGGTAGATAAAAGCTAGGATTAGTCTAAGAGTCCCCAAAACAAAGCCGGTCATGCCACCCCAAAAGGCTCCCTTTTCATTACACCGTTTCCAGAAGACACCCAACAGAAACAGGGCTGCAATTGGAGGCGTAAGGTAACCTGCTACCTCCTGAATATAGAGATAAGTTTGCCCTCCTTGCATCTCAATAATGACAGGTACCCAAGCGATGCTAATTCCCACCATGAACACAACAAACAGGCGTCCCACGATCAAAAGTTCCCGCTGAGATGCTGCTCTCCGGACAGTTTGATAAATGTCCAAAGTGAAGATAGTGCTTGCACTGTTGAATATTGAGTCAAGGTCGCTCATCAAAGCTGCAATCATGACCGCCATCATGAGTCCACGGAGTCCCACAGGCATCACGGCCATGACCAGACGTGGATAGGCAATGTTGGAGCAGCCAGCTTGGGAGCCACATACAGACATACAGTGCTCTGGTCCAATGCAGGCGATTTCATCAGCAAACAATATGCGTGAGATCATACCTGGAATGACTATAATAAACATGGGAAGGATCTTCAAAAAACCAGCCATGAGTGTGGAACCTTTGGCATGTGCAATGTTTTTGGCAGCTAGAACTCTCTGGACAATAACCTGGTCCGCACACCAGTACCAGATGGAAGCAGGTGTTTGCCCAAGTATGAAACCAGGCCACGGGATATCTTCATCGAGCGGGCTGCGGAGGATACGCAAAGAGTCTGGTTTTGGATGAATACGGCAAGAAGGGGAGTAGGTGAAGTTTCCAGCAGCCGTAATAGCAGTAACATTAGGTACAGCTTGCATGTACTTGGTTCGGACGCCATCGAGCCCACCAACTTTTATTAAACTCATGATAGTTAATGTGAGTGCCCCACCAATCATTAGCACTGCTTGCAGAGCATCCGTGTATAATACGGCCACCAGTCCACCAGTTACAGTAAGGATTGCAGTCATACTAATAAGTAAAACTATGGACAAATACAAATTCCATCCCAGTGACTCCTTAATGAAAAGTGCTCCAGCATACAAGTCCACTGACAGCTTGGTGAAAATGTAGAGCAAAATTGACAAAAAGGCAAAGTACACTTTGAGCCTGTTGCCTCCGTAGCGTTTGGAAAGGTATTCTGGCATTGTGTAAACTCCAGAGTGGATATATACAGGGATGAACACCCACCCGAGCAGCTGCAGAAGTAACAGTGCATTAAACTCCCATGCTCCCACAGCGAAGCCGCTGGCTGCTCCTGATCCAGCCAGGCCTATGAAGTGCTCGCTGCCAATGTTACTGACAAACAGCGATGCCCCTATGATCATCCACGTCATTGACCGTCCGGCCAGGAAGTAGCCACTAACAGTACTCCGGTTGGCTTTCCACATGGCAAAGAATCCAATGAGTAGCACCAGTACAAAATACAGTGCCACCACTGCAATGTCCGCAGCTTCCATTCCAGGACGCATTGTTCTAGGGTCAAATAAATACAATTCAAAATTTGAAGTAAAAGCAGTCAGTGCTTTGGTTTACTGTGCAGATGGAATCAGTAGTGCTCTCCCTCACTGCATGCTTCAGAAGAGACTATCCATTGGCACACAGGTCAATCTAGATATTGAGGGTGCTGCAGGATTCTGGTTTAGAAAAAACCTAGAGTTTACATTCCTGCAAGACAGCAAAACATAGAAAAGACACTATTAGCTGGGCCACACAGGGTCAAATATCCAACACAGAAAAGCAACAACAAGCTTCAACTGTAAGACTAATGCAGGGTCAGCCACACAGCAAAAGCAACGTACAGAGCAAGTCAGACATCAGGCCTACTGTCAACACGCACAGACTCCTACAGACAGACAAAATGTCACTTCTCTGACTGTTTCAACACTGTAATATCTCATAAGGAATTATAATATTTATAATATATTTGATAAAAGTTGGAATAGGAGTTGGGACTTCTGCATTGCCATGGCAATTTCTCCTTTTTTAGTTACCATTTGCAATGTACTATTTTTGTGAATTCCTATTCACCCTAACTGAGTTTGTATTTACCTCATTATTGGCTTGCTATGATAGCCATGACACTAAATTACTACAAGACATCTGTTTTGTATTTTCTCACACACATTTTGTTTTGCTTCTTGGTTTCATTCTGCCATGCATGACATAAAATAACACTGAGCGTTCTCTGCAAACTATTATGTAGAACTATTCGTTTAAATAAAGAAGTCTTTGTTTTCATCCTGCCCTCTTGCTAACATACTACTTAGGCTGCATGTTGTTTTTAAATGCTCCAGTGTTTATCACGCCTGAAAGACATAACATCCTATTGATTTATAACACTGAATTGTGATCCAAAAAATCCTCACATCTTTAAAAAGCGATAGCATTACAATTTAGAATCACTCCACAGGCCCGATGTTCTATTCTTTACTTTATCATAACAAATTAAAATTATTACATTTAATGGACTTAGTTATTACAGTCATCATATTACTATATTATCAGATTTATGCTATGTGTCCTCATCAAAAACATACCTGGAGTTGTGTTTTGTTTCATTAACACTGTTTAACACAAATGCTGGATTCTTCTCGTAAGCAGAAAACACTGTTTGTGTCAAGTTTAAACTCCATACACCTTCACCTAGTATCATTTGGATAATTTCAGCTATAGAATTTCCAGTTTCTAATGAACAAAAGGTAGCTGCTGAAAATTACCTATGACATCTATGACATCAAAAGGTGGAACAAAGCATTTTGAGCTTCGGAGCTGTAGACAGTAGACTATTAATAGACTATTAATAAAGAGTCACTCAGACGTGTAGAAATGAAACAAAACACAACTTCAGGTATGTTACTAAAGCTCGTAAGAGTCAATGTCGCGTCATATAGGCCCTTTAAGGACACGCGCTTGGTTGAGGGAAATTTCTAGAAGTCATTCATTCCTTGCTGATACGTGAACTTCAAAATAAGAGGTTAATGTGCTGAAAGTTAGCCTGTATGCCCACAGTTTAATAATAGCAACAAGAGTAATAGCCTATTTTTGGCTAAATAGTCTATCTGTCGCCAAAGCGGAAAAATGCGCACTTGGTTAAGGTATAGATGCATGACGCTGTACAATGAATGAGAACACTCCTCCCTCCGCGGCTGTCACAAGTCACAATGGAGCTTTCATACTCACACCTTTAACTCTCTTCTTGCGACACAAAGCGCGGTATTTAATAGTATCTGAGAGAGAAGCATATACCATGTTAGCTTGGGCTAGCAGCAACATTAAAGATGCTACAAACATCCACGCCCCAAAGGGAAGATGCAGGAAACAGCGTCCTTGTAAGAGCAGTCTTTCCGGAATGGCTCGAGCTGGTTGCTAGTTGATCACTTTTCAGGGGTCGCCTCTGGATAGGAGATTGTAGCTGATAAAAGCCCCTCTGATGATCTTGTGTGTCCGGATGTAGAGGAGAGAGGTGTGACGACTGCTGGGAGATAACGCTGCCTCTCCTCCTTATAGACTGCGCGGCTCAGATCCACGCCCCAAGCACGTGTGTCTCTCCCGTGATGTGTTAGTTGTAAAATACCTGTTGGAATCTGCCTCAATAAGTCTTTGAGCTTACATTTAACATGAATTGCAACTGGCTGCGGTACGTGAGGATTATTTGCATGTTGTTATGAACACAGTTTAATTAAACAAAAACGCGAACTTAGACCTAGTCACTGGGGTTAATTAAGGTGGAAAGCTGCTCAGTGTTTCATGAAAGAAACTACGAGACGCGATTAGTGTCAGTATTTTACGAGAACAGTCGAGAAACTAAAGCGGATTTAATTGATTAAACATTGTTTTCATTTGACAGATCTTGCTGAAGTTAGGCCATGGAGCCAACAGCGAGGGCGTGTTAAAGAAGGTTGTGCAGTAGTATAAATACATATTTGGTGGTTCTCATGGACTGTAAAAAGAATTATATATATATGCACTCTATGGTGGCTCTGTACAGTTCCCTTGCTTTTCATTTACTGATTTACTAAGATTATGGCATTTGTGATATTCCTGTGACTTTATTTCCAAAAATGGTCGAATGTAAATGATGCGCATCCCACCAGTGCAGGGTCTTGTCAGGTTGTGCCCTCATTACCCCCTAAGGTGCACATGATTGTCTTATTCACTTGTTATTAACAACACACTGGCGTGAACAAGGTCAACCAAAACAACAAAACCCCGCAAGACACATGGCTCGTGTTAACGGGGGAGGGAAACAGTAAATTTCCACTCACTGCTCCAGAATGAAATGTTGGAAATTTCCATTAGAATGTAACTGCATTTCCCATAAACCCTTGCGCGGAAATTATATGTGCTTCACGAGCTCCATCTATTGGTCGTGATACTGTAGCTTTGTGAATCAGCTTTATGTTGTTGTAAATATTTTTTTTTTGTTGACATGTCATATCCACTGTAGCTAATGAAGAGGAAATAAGTAGTAATTTTCTTGTTTTATTAATTAATTTAAACTGTACTATAGCTCTCTGATCATAATGGAAAATTGGAAGACAACTACATCCACTCCTCATCTTATTTCTAAATTTCTGTTGTTTTGGAGAGATGCTCCATGTAATAATTGCACTTTTGTCTTGTTGTCATTTTTATTTTTTCGTATTTATTAATTGATTTTTTATTGATTTTATGTTGCTACGCCCCCTAGCGTGTTTTTACATGTTGACACTTTCTCTAGAAGTGTTTGTAAGTTTTAAGAGTGTTCAAATTAAATAATAAATGAATAAATAAATCTCTTTTGCAGATGTTGTTGGACTAATAGCCATGGATCTACTGCTTGCTAACATATCTCTCTCTCTCTCTCTCTCTCTATATATATATATATATATATATGACAAACTCTGATGATCAGAATCAGTGACTTTTATTGCCATTGTCAGTGAACAAAATTTACAAACTATAGGTTATGCTGCATTATGGTGCAACATTAAACTAAGAATATTAATAAAAAACTATGATCAAATTAAAATAAGGGTGCGTGTTAAGATAAGGTAAAGAACTTTTAAAAATATGATTGTTGTTGCAAGTTTATACATTACTTTTAGTTAAGTGGGGTAGTAAATTCAGTTGCCACAGCACTGTCTCTGGAACTTCTCTCTTAAAACTCAGAATGAACAGAATTTGCTGTTTGGGGCTGATTTATAGCTTTCTAATTAGTCTGTAGGTGTTGTAATGGTGTCAGCATTTGTTTGTCAGAGAAATGCACTAGTGTCAGTTTGTGTTTAATTGAAATAAAAGAGTATAGTGCCCCAAAAAATAATGATTTAATCTATTTAGCCCTTTTGAAGTTACACCATGCAGTTAACTGTAGATCTTGATTGGCACCTCTGCCTTTAGTATTTGGCATTTTGAATATTTTACGACAATATCATAAGAAAGACCATAAATGTCAGAAAATATTTTTTCACAGGCTTAATCTTAAAGGTGGAATACATAACTTTGCTGCTGAAGGGTCCGTTGTCCACTTGTCTCCATGGAGAAGTTATTACTTTGGCTAGAATGTTCTACAGTCTGACATTTCACCCATTTATCTCCATGGAGACAACACCAGGCAATGTTACAGGTCAGATCTGTGGAGAGATGACCCCCTCTTACAATAAGAATGCACCTTTTGTCAAGGTATGAAGCAATAAAAACACCTGTTTGTTTAATGAATGCAAAATATATACATTAATGGCATACTGTGGAAAATTTCAGGAAAAACATACATTACATAGTGTACTTAAAAAGGAACTGTGTGTAGCCTGTGCTTTTTTGAAAAATTGTGCTACAGTCGGTCACAACTAAATCTGGGTCTTGCTCATAGATTGTGTATATGAATGGTTTTGCCTCATGTGAAAGCTCAGACCCCAAAACCCAAAAACATATCGTGGATATTTATTTGTATTCATTTGAGCTGTTTTTATTATTTTACCAAGTTATAGTAACTATAACATAGATTAAATACAATGTAGTGATTCATTATATTGTATCTCCATTGTCTTACAGTCTATATGCTTGCAATTAAACAAAAAGGGACATGCGTGTAAATAAATTTAATAAATTCAAGTAAATGATCAAACTAATTCACACAGGTGTTTTATTTATTCGATTGCTCAGGTAAGATGAAATGTCTGGACCAGCCTTCTAGTTCCAGACATGATTAAATTGAAAATGTTTTTTGGTGAAGTGGCGCCATCTGCTGATAAAGAAGTTCAACAACAAAAACAGGTGCGCATTATAATTTTATGTAAATATTTTATTATCTAATATGTTCTTGTCCCTTGTGTGTGTGCTCTGTGTGGGACTGTCCCAGCACTTGCTCTTCAGTGACAGGGCCCAAATATCTGACAGAGGGGTGAGAGCTCTGTAAAGGCTGCACATCCTGGACCATACCACTACCGGGGGGGGAGTGGCTATATCGCAGCATCAGCGTTATATTTCAACACAAGTAAAGCGAACACTGCTCCTTTTGCTTGTGGCGTGGCTTTATGCAAATGATCCAAGTGTGTTGACTTTTTGGTGACCGTTTAGAGGCAAATAAGTCAGTCTAGAGTTTGCTCACACACGCCCCACCCCTCGGTTTCAGGAAGTGGGCTGTCCTCATCTCAGCACGGTATCAGCTGAGCCTCCCGCCCCGTCATGAACCTGTGCACACTGTTGTTGTGACGATTACGCGTGTTTTTTTAAAGAACATTGGTCCGGACTTTTGGATTAAACTCTGTAAAATGTAATCAAAACATTTTCGCCGGCGTTATTTTTCCACTTCCATCAATTTGGCGAGATAGATGCGCCTCCTGTGCTGTGCTGGTGAGTCATTGATGGACCTGATAGCTAGCCTACTCTCTTTTGTTGTTTCACTCTAACTATTATTATGCCCATCTCTGGGTTTTATGCCTAGTAATGTTTTGGATAATTTATATTCTTAAAGCTACACAAATTATTTTGCAGTGGCGCTACGTTGATCGATGTATGCATGGACAACTGTTTATTTCTTATCAGCTTCAACATTATGAGCCTATAGCTTCACATATGGTTGCAGAATAGTCTACACATAAATTCGATGTGTGAAAAACATTATACCAGCATATCTTTGAGGTATGGATGTGTGTATGTGGTCCAGTTACATAACAGCTGTGTGCTATTGATGCTGTATTCACGGTCAGTGCTGCAGACACAGCCTTGTGTTATCTCTCCGTTTGTCCAGTGCGCAGCTTTAGTTTGTGGCCGCTGTGCTCATCTTGCCATCCTGTTGTGGCGGTGTCAGTCAGGTGACAGCTTCTCTCTGCAGAGCTTGTTGTTTTCCGCTACAGACGCCGTCGACAAAGCCCACTCATCATATTGTTTCAAGTTCAGTCAAGTTGTTCAACCTAATAAGTCACCATATTTTATTATCTGGAACTGGACTGGAGCTGATCTAAGCTCTCTTCAGGTGAATACTGTTGTTGTGTTCTTGGGCAAGACATTTAACCTGCCTCGCTCATGAATGTGTGAATGGATGAATGGTTTCTTGATGTTATGCTTTATGTGCCTTGAAGGTTGAAAGGTGCTATATAAAAAGGTGACAGTTTACCATATACCTGATCACGTTGTTACCATTGTTAACTTTTAAGGGAAAACATTTCCTTTCACTATTTGTTTTTAAATATTTGCTTTAATGGCGCCAAGTGCTTTGTCAAGGAAAGTATGTGCTGTGAATCGTTGCTATAACATTGTAAAGCTATAGCCAGTTAGCTACACATCCGCTGGAGCAAGTGTGACCTACACTGGTAGAGACTAAAGTGTGTATATAGTTTAAATGCACAACAGCTATGAGACATGTATCTTTCTTCCAATCTACAATCATTACATTTCGAGGAATAATTACTTGGTTGACACATATGACATACTAGTATTGTATTTATTTATATATAAGCTACGTCGAATCAAAATAGTAGGCTTTTGTTCCATTTTCACAGTGTTTTTGATCATAGGTTTGTTATGGCCTTAGTAAAATGACCAAACACTGACCTCTCATGAATGAGATCATTTGTGTGTCAGCCAGCTTGTGCTTCTCCTACGACACGACAAATTGGCTAATGTTATTTACTATTAAACCTCACAACAAGGCTCAGAGGAATACCAAGCTGCTACACTGAAACAAAAACATGCATATTTATCAGACTTTACTCAGAGTTTATTTGAAACCTCTCACTTTTTGCAGATGTTTTCAGTCGGATATGGTGGCATCATACTAATTCAATATGGATCCTGAGGAAGTAGAGCTGATGAATGATTACCGCTACAGGAACTATGCTACAGTCATTGAAAAGGCACTACGAAACTTTGAGTCGTCCACAGAATGGGCAGATCTTATCTCCTCCTTGGGCAAACTTAACAAGGTATGATTTACAGAGAAAGGAAACCAATATCACATCTGCTCTGTGTCATCGTTGTTGTCAGAAGCTGTGAAAGTAGCGTTATTTTTGAGATTACATTATCACAGCTGCATTCATGTTTCACTTCTCTGTAGAAAAATCCTAGGTTTCACATTCTTGTTAGAGCTTGTGGTCCATGCTTTTGGCTAGAATACTGCAGCATAAGGATATTAGTTTTGGCATGTCAGCTGAGTAGGATCAAACTCAACTCAAGAAAATATATATACTTTTTTGTTTATAATTGCCCTTTTGTTTCTACTCTCACAGGCCTTGCAAAGTAATCTACGTTACTCCCTCCTGCCAAGGAGGCTAATCATTGGTAAGCGTTTAGCACAATGTCTGCACCCAGCTCTACCCAGTGGGGTCCATCTAAAGGCCCTGGAAACCTATGAGATAATTTTTAAAATTATTGGAACCAAATGGCTTGCAAAAGATTTGTTCATTTACAGGTAGGTTTATTAGTCCATTTGTTCTGTATTTCTGAGTAGAACATTAGTAATATTTTTATGTGTTGGGTTTTCAGCTCCGGCTTGTTTCCTCTGCTGAGCCATGCAGCCATGGCAGTGAAACCTGTCCTCCTGGCTCTGTATGAGCGTTACTATTTACCACTACAAAGGGCTTTGCTTCCCAGCCTTCAAGCTTTCATAACTGGGCTACTTCCTGGTCTTGAAGAGGGTCTGGAGGTGTATGACAGGTGCAAAGATGTGCCTCTTCTTTATTTGAATTACATTTTCATGAATCTAATCATATTATTCATCCATACAGAACTGATGCATTGCTACTGAAGTTGTCACTGCTGGTGGGACAGCAGGTTTTCTATGGTGCCCTTTGGGGCTGTGTTTTGGTTAGTCCAATGGTTAGACTTCCAGCCTCAGTGTTCATCGTTACCCACTTCGACCGCATGGTGTGTCTGAGTCAGCAGACGTACATGCTGGGTTATGATCACCATATTGTGGTAGGTAAACATGAATTATATGAACACAATGTTTCTGTGTGCTTTTACTGTCCACTGTGTATAATCTGACCTTTTTAATCTGTACTTCAGGTCAAGTCATTGGCTCTGTCTTTACAAGATTCAAATGTCCTAGTTCAGAGAAACATGCTAGAGGCCCTGCTCTACTTTTTCCCCTTTGCCACATGTTTGGTGCGTATACTGACTTATATAAATGTCATGTTTGTTGTATTGATACTTTGCAGCTGATGTCATCAATATGCCCTGGAGTTGTGATGCTAAATGTAGGTGCTGCTCTGCTCTCTCACACATAAAATTGCAGTCACAAGATAGGTAACATTAGCCAACGGTTTTTCAGTTCAGGTTCCTAAAAATGTGTTGTGCCCTCATGGTAACTCTTAAAAACATTTCACCATTAGAGATACATGTAAAATACCCCCAGGTTAATGTCACTGCAAAGTGTCAATACTACCACATAAACTTTGTAGTATGTTATTAAAGCTATAAAACACATCCGTCTTGTGTTGTCCAGAGTCCGGCTGAGGCCAGTATTGCCATGAGCACGGAGGACTTGATATCGCTGGTCTCTGCTGCACTGATCACACTTCTGCGCAGAGACATGTCCCTCAACAGACGCCTTTATGCATGGCTTTTAGGTATTCACCACTAGGGCAAGAATAATATGTACAGGGAGAACTATGTAATGCAGATTTTACTTTATTTTTTACAGGCACAGACATTAAAGGTGGCATGGTCGCCCCTCACCCTGTCCTCTCTACAACAATTGAGGAGCATACAACATTTTACTTCAGTACTTACTCTAAAAGTTTCGTAGTACAGGTATGAATAAACTATGACAAAATCTTATTTGAATGTATGATAATAAAAATGTTCTGATCCTCCCAGGCTTTGATTAATATAATCAAGCAAAAGGACATGGAGTCTGACCCAGAGAAGCTTGTTGGGTACCTGAGGCCGTTTCGCATTCTCATGAGCCTGCTGGATAAACCAGAAATAGGTGCGCACTTCATAAATTGTTTGATATATTGTACTTTTGTCTTGAGTTTGTAATCAAGTACCCTCTATTCATTCATGAAACAGTTTTTTAAATGTCTAAATAACCAGAGCCCCTGTCAGTAAGGATTGTGTAGTTTGAAGAACAGTTTTGTCCCATTTTCATAGTCCTGTTTGTCTTCTAAGGTGTAGACTGTGGAACTATTTTCCTTCTGACCTAAAATTACAGACTGATCCAAGTGTCTTATGTCTAATGTAATTATTTACTTCTGTGTACACATTTTAACACTCCTTTCTGCACTCTAAACCCCTTTCAAAGCCCCTTGGACAAGTGTTAAAAATGAGCACGTGCTATACAAGTATACTATAAGACAATGCATCTGGTCTAATCCAATGTTATTTCTATATCCTTGTCCATATTAAATACATTTTATTTGTATTTATAATAGCATTTAACATTTTTCTTTAGGCCCTATGGTTTTGAGTAATGTTTTGCTTGAGCTGGTTCGAGCCTTCTACAGTTACTGTCGAGAAATGCTCGGCGAAGAAGCCATTAACAGCTCGGGTCTTTCAGGAAACCAGTTAGCAAGGTGAGCGCTAGATAAGATGTTTAGTAAACCTGTTTTAATCGTCTATACAGTAAATGTAAAATTTAACAATGTATACATATTTTTTACAGCAAGATAAAAGAAAACAAAAATGCTTCTGAGATTATTAAGACAATGAATATGCTCATGAGTACTATGAACAGTGAGTACTTGTGGGAATATATGACACGACGCTTCTGTACTGCTCTGAGGTATGACATGTGGCAAAGCCAGAAATACTTACATTTTATATTTTACAAAACTTGGTTATTGTATGTTCAACATCCTTTGAAACATATTTTCAATAATTACTCCTCCAATTGAGCACATCTTAGTGCAGTTCTGCCTTGATATTCATAGTATAACCACAGAAAACCTTTAGTTCCTCCACAGTCTCGTGTGTTACAAGAAGATTTGCTTCCTGATTTGTGTGTGGTGTGTGTGTATGTACATGTATATGTATATGTATATGTGTGTGTATATGTATAAGATTATGGATGTGTTTTATTTTTGCAGTTCCAAACATGACCCTCCAAAACCCCCTCAATCAGACTGCAGTCACCCAGCTCCTTCTGTCACAGAGATGTGTCAACTCATCATTTTTCTACTTGATATTATTCCTTTGGTAAATAATCAAAGCCCATGGTTCGCCAACAGAGTAACTCTACTGTAGCAAATGTTGTATATGCATTTACTTTTAAAACAATTGACTGTATAATGACATGATGTATACATTATATTTGTGATTACTGAGTCAATGTAAAGGATGAATTAACAATTAACTAAATAGCCTCTACAATATGTGAAGAACAATTCAGTCAAAATATTGGTGTGTGTGTTCTCTGACACAGGAGCTGCATGCAGACATCCAGTCTCAGTTCCTGCCTGAAATGCTGGGCACAATGTTGAGAGCACTGCAGAGCAACATCTGTTCTGTGAGTCTGGAGGACATAACCCAGAGCCTGCGGGCCTGCTTCAAGGTTCTCAGTAAAATCCAAATGCCAGTGTCTTACATGGACATGGAGGCAGGAACCAGCACACAAGAGATGTTCTCACAGATGCAAGAAAAGAGAGACAAAAGTAACAAGGTTTGTCATTTCATTTGGTTGCACGTCAATGTTACACAACATGCAGTATAATTCACATACATGACAATCCCTACATTACTTCTTTCTCTTGTGGACAGAGCATTGATGAAAATGGGGAAAAAATTGCCAATGGTCATGTTAATGGCTCCTGCAGAGATGCAGAGTCCAACAGGAACAGTGCAGATGAGGCAGAATCTGGAGTCTATGCACCACTCCGGTCTGAAGACAGTGGGCTGGGCATAAGTGCATCTCCTTCAGAACAACAACTTCCTCCTGTGATGGGAGGAGAGACTGGGGAAACTAAAAGTCCCAAAGACAATGAAAGAGTGTGGCGTAAAGGGGGCAGTGTGCACAGTTTGGTTCATTGCCTTCAGGACATTCTTGCTTTCTTAAACACCAGGTAAACATGTGGATTTTAAACTGTACATTCAGCAAAACAATGGAGAAATGCATCAGTCTTGGCTAAATTTTAATAATCTTTTGTGACCATGACAACCTTTCAGATACCTGCTTGTGCAGGTGGAAGAAATTCACGTTCAAGAGGAAGAGCCACAGCCTCCCCCATCCTCTACACCGGTGGACGAGAAAAACCGTCATGCTGGAAGAGAAATTAAAGACAAGCTCACTGATTTCTTTGTTCCCAATATTCTGAAACCCCGCCACTCACTGGATGGTGCAGTCTCAGCAGAGCCTCAGACAGTAGTCTGTGAGGAGCAGCTGAAAAAGAAGAAGGGGCGTTTTTTAAATTCTGGATGTCTGCAGTGGGGAGACGGGTATATGCCCAGAGGAAAAGGAGATATTTCTGAGGACTGTAGACAGGCCTTTACAGCTTCGTGTCATCTTTTACTGGAATGCATTACCTTCCCAATCTACCTAAGTGAACAGGAAACGCTTGATCTCTACACAGAAATGTTTGGTCACTCAAGTAGGCAGATGCATCACTGTTTGAGCTGTGGTACTTAAATCAGTGAATTTAACCTAGGTGCTTTTTTAATCTTTTGCAGGTTGTAATGTAGAAGATCTGCCAGTGTGGCTGCGATCCTTAATGATACTCTGCTGCCTGTCAAGGGACTACTACATCCAGCACACCGCTGTGGCTACACTGTTGGAGCTCATTAACCACTCTCAGTCTTTAGCACTGGTAATCCAAGACAAACATCGGCGATACCAAACCTCTGACTCCAATCCACTGAGTGGGAGGCTACAGATGGTCACAGAACCACCCATTTTCCCTGCTGTGCTCAAAGACATAGAGATACAAACGGATTTCTATCAGGTCAGAAAATCCTTGTTTCAATATCCATGTCTGTAAAGCCGTCGAATCTCTGTTATTAGAACTATAAACAAAACGTTCCTGTATTTTAGCGGATGTCCCAAGTGCTATGGTCACAGCTGGACACAGAACGCAAAGAACAGCACATTTCCTGTGTGGAGCTGTTCTTCAGGCTGCACTGTTTGGCTCCATCTTCGTCAATATGTGAGAACATCATCTGTGAGGCTTTGACACACAGAGACAAGGTATATTGCATATGCACACATTCATAATGTTTCCTTTTGTTCCTTATTGAATAAATATGTAATGTAAACAAAGGCTGACAAACAGGTTAAAGAAAGTCTTTGCATGTGACAAGGTATAGTGTGAACTGTGTGTCTTCCTCAGACTGTCAGACTAGAGGCCTTACACCGCTTCACAGTCCTATGGCATCTCACCAGAGAGATCCAGAACAACAGATCTTTGTCCCTCAATCGCTCGTTTGATAGGTTTGTAATCCATTCAGTATTTAATAGAAGTAAAAATCCATAATACTGGCTGTTGATGGTTTCGATATATTTCCCTTTTAGATCTCTCTGTGTTGTTGTGGACAGTTTAAACTGTACAGATGGCTCAATAGCTGCTGCAGCTCACTGTTGGCTGGGCAGAGCTCTGTCTCTGAATGATGTCATCAGGATCTTAGAACCAATTCTCTTTTTGCTCCTTCATCCATCCACTCAGCGATGCTGCATTCACAATGTTAAACAAAATCTTACTGCTGGTAAGATGAAAAGTTCCAAACAAAAATAAAAAGAATCCATGTAAATCATTATCATTATTGTTTTTTTAAAGGGTACCTAAAGATCCTAAACAGCAGAAGCCGAAGCTCAACTAAAACATCAACAGATACAATGGCAACTGAAGTCACAATCTTTAACGTAAATAATATCCTTGATCGAGAATCTCTGTGGACTGAGTTAGACAGTGGTCCTGAGGTGGTCAAAGAATCAGAAGTCTTACCATTGTCTCAAAGTGAGAGTGAAGAAACTGAAGAGGATGAGGAGGGCCATGAAGAGGAAGATGTGAGTGAACACACTGAGTCTGCAGACACCAGTGGGGCACAAGTGTCCACAGAAAACTCTAGCTCTGGCTCTGCAGCCTATCGCAGCAGTGAGGAGGGAGCCATGGTCAATGGGCTGCACAGGGTGGAATCTGAGCGAACACAAGCCTCTGATTCACTGTCGAGTGAAGATGAAGACCAGGAACTGGAAGCTATGGCCAGGTCTCGTCTTCTAAAGCAGGAGCGTGACAAGAGAGAGGCCATCGACTCCCTGTTCCGCCATGTGCTGCTGTATCCTGTGGCAGGGGGCTGGCCCTACCTACTCCAGGGCCTTACTTTGTTGCACAGTTTGCTCAAAAGCAATGCCCACGCTGCCGTGGTGGATGCCCTCTCTACCTCCTCTCTGGACACAAGCTCAGCAGCACATTTAAACCTGATTTCAAACCTTTTACAACGTCACCAACTGTCCCAGGATGGCAAATCTTTCTATGGCTCTCTGATGTCCTCTTGCTCCTCTCCCTCCACCCCTCCTGCCCTCCTCATTGAACTTCTAGTCTCATTGTGCTTGTGTTTTCTACGCTCCCATTACCCGTCCTACCTCAGCCTGGGACCTCAGGACCTGCAGGGGAACAGGGAAGTGCAGGTGAGAAGTGTGGAGGTCCTGACACAGATCATGAACCAGCTCCACTGCATGGCTCGTGCAAACAATGGACCCAACCTGGAGCTAATCCGAAAAGTACTTACTGATTGTAAAGTGCAGCAATATGCCCTACTTTCTCTGTCCGCATCTATGTATGTCAGTCAGAGAGGGAGTGAAAAGGGAGCAAACAAGACTGTAGAGTTGCTAGGAGACGAAGGGGGCCTGGCTGAAGAAAGTTTAGTTTACCTTGGTTCAGGAGGAAGTCAGGAGCAGTTCCCTTTACAAATGGCATTACTAAAACTGCTCCAGTCACTCATTGTTCTTGAATATCACACATGTCCAAGTGGTGGAGCAGCTAACCAGCCTGGGGACCACCGGGAGACTCCAACTCCTAGCACACCTTTAACACGGGAGTGGCAAACTGCTGTCCTCTTCCAGCAGTCCATTAAAGCAGTTCAGTATGTTCCGAATCAGCCAATCACTGCCCAGGGAATGTTTGTCTCCGCTGCGGCCAGAGCTTTACAGCCACAGTACGGTTACGCCATGCATCCTCACTGGGTGGCGCTGTGCTCCTCTTTGCCCTATTTGGGACGCTCGCTTGGCATCATCGTGACTCCTTTTGTCAACCAGATCTGTAAGAATTTGGATGAGCTTGTCAAGATGTATGAACACGATGGAGCAAAGATCAGCCAAAGGTAGGTGTAGAAAAAGTGGAAAAGCATGCATGATTTTGCAATTGTTTTAAAAATTTTGCTACTGAGGCTATTTTATATAAAGAGATATAATGAGATACCCGGAGTGCAAGAATATTTTGTGTTTTCTTGTCTTTAGTTTGTGCTATAGAAAAGAAAACATTGCTCCTGATTATGCCTTGACACTTCTCGAGGGCCTGACCACTATCACACACTTCTGTCTTCTTGATACAAAAAGAGTGAGTAACATAAAGTAAAAATACGCTGAGATGTATTTCAGATCTCCAACATTTAATTTGTCTTTTTTTGTAGTCCCAAGTAACATATGACCCTATGGATCTCCGAAATGCCCGTAATGCTGTGATTGAGGCACTGCCACACATGCTGAGCAGTGCGGCTCTGTTGTGGGGGGTGGTCATGAAGGAGGAGAATCAGAGGCGCTTACTGGATTCAACTCCAACTAGACACAATTCAGCCTCTGTGTACTTCAAAAGCTCCAAGGTACACTGGTTTAGTTTAGATTAGTCAAGGTGTGATGTTAATTTTGTGATGATTGTTTATGTTTTGATTTGTTTCTATTGTGATGTTAATGTTTTTATTATTCTGTAAAGCACTTTGAATTAGTTTCTGTATGAATTGTGCTATACAAATAAACTTGCTTTGCCTTGCCTATTAACATGCTAGTAAAATTTACGCCTTCTGGACAGATTCTACGGCAGAGGATACTGGAGTTCTTGCTTCCGTTAACAGGACAATATGGCACTCAGCTCATGGCTTCTGTGGCAGCAGTGTGGAGCAGTAGAAAGAGCAAAAGGAGGCCCAAAAACAAAGTAAGTGTGTGAAATCTAGACCTCTGTGATTCTGAGGAGATTCAGAAGAGGGACAGTTATGGCTCTTTCGCTCCTCAAAGTGCACTGACACAGATCGGCTGATTCACTCTTCTCTACTCTCTACTCTTTCTTTCTCTCTACTCTCTATTTCTCTCTCTCTTTATCTTCTTTCTCTCCTCTCTCTCTTTTCTCACTCTCCCTCTCTCTCTCTCTACTCTCCCTTCTTTCCCTTTCTGTCTTCTCTCTTCTTTCTTCTCTCTCTCTATTCTCTCTTTCTCTTTGTGTCTGTGTGTGTGTGTGTGTCTCTCTCTCTCTCTCTCCCTGTCTTTCTCTGCCTTTCTCTGTGTGTGTCTCTTTCTTTTTGTCTCTCTCTCTCTCTCTCTCTCTCTCTCTCTCTCTGTCTCTGTCTCTCTCTCTCTCTGTCTCTCTCTCTCTCTCTCTCTCTCTCTCTGTCTCTCTCTCTCTCTCTCTCTGTTCTCTCTCTCTCTGTCTCTCTCTCTCTCTCTCTCTCTCTGTCTCTCTCTCTCTCTCTGTGTGTGTCTCTCTTTGTCTCTCTCTCGCTTTGTCTCTCTCTGTTTGTCTCTCTCTCTTTGTCTCTGTGTCTCTCTTTGTTTGTCTCTGTGTCTCTCTCTGGATCTCTCTCTCTTTGTCTCTGTGTGTGTGTGTGTGTGTGTCTCTCTCTCTCTCTGTTTGTCTCTCTCTCTTTGTATCTCTCTCGCTCTCTCTGTATCGCTCTCTGTATCTCTTTCTCTCTCTGCCTCTCTGTCTCTCTCTCTCTCAATATTGTATGGTTTTCTTACTCTTTGTCTAACACTTTGTCTCTAAGGTGCTCCCTGTGGCTAGTGAACCCCGTCTAACAATTGTGAATCTGGTGAAATCCCTGCAAACGCTAAACGCAGAAACCATCTTACATCTGGCCAAAGAGGTGGTTAAAAAACCCCACCAGATCAAAGGAGACCAAGTATGTTTTTACTTTCTTCACAGTTTAATTAAGTTAAATGTTCACTTTTACATTCTACTTTTCTTTTCCAGAAGTCACTCTTAGTTGATATTCCAATGTTACAGTTCAGCTTTGCTTTTGTTCAGAGGTATTATGCCCTTAACTCGTAATATCTGTATAAATATGTTTTAAATACTAATTACTAACTGCTAGTATTTTTTTAGTATTTCATCTCAGGTTCTTCAGGACAATGTTGTTCCTCTCCTGACTCTGTTAAGAGAGTCTGTACAATTGAATCTGACTCCACCAGGACATTTCTTACTGCTCGGGTTTGTATTCACACATAAACTCAATCGACTTGTTCATTACATCTGGTGAATAATCATCATTTCATTGGCCTTTGCAGAATCCTTAATGAAATCGTCAACAGACTTCCCAACCTGGACAACAAGAGGGATGCCAGAGATCTACAAGTATGAAGTTATTGCTTAGTTTTAACTGTTGGTATGATGGTGTATCCATTGTCTTGCTTTTTGCTTATTCAGAAAGTAATTCTTATGCAGGACGTGACACAGAGGATCCTTGAAGCTGTGGGGGCAATAGCTGGATCGTCTTTAGAGCAAACTAGTTGGCTTAGTCGAAGTCTTGGAGTCAAAGTTCAGCCACAAGTGTGCCAAGAAGCAGATGAACATGATGATGCAGATTTGGATGGGGAACATGGTACTTGTTTTCTATGTTATTATTACATTCATGTGTTTCATAAATGTTGTATGGAACAAATACAAACTCTCTTTCTTTTTTATCAGAATCAGTAGCACAAGCTAGCACAATGGTTTCCTCATCGGCTCCCTCTGTCTACAGTGTTCAGGCTCTTGTACTGCTAGCAGAGGTAAACGCTTATTCAGTTTAATATTACATTATTTACTTGGTTAAGTTTAGTAACTATTACGTTTTTGTAATTTCAGATTTTAGCACCACTTCTTGATATGGTATATCGCAGTGATGAGAAAGAAAAGGCTGTTCCTCTCATCTCCCGCCTCCTTTATTATGTTTTTCCTTACCTGAAAAACCACAGGTAACTGCAGATATGCCATAAATTAAAAGTTATAAATGTAACTACAGTTGTATGACCCTCTGACCACCTTTGGTGGTGCTGAATGGGTTAAATAATTACCCACTTTCAGAACTGCCAGTGGTCAGTAGGGATGAAACAGAATCCAAAATGTATGTTTATATTACATTTTATTTACATTCCTCCAACTATATTTTTGTCTTTTGACAGTATCTACAATATTCCAAGTTTTGAGGCTGGTGCTCAGCTCCTGAGCAGTCTGAGTGGTTATGCCTACACCAAACGGGCCTGGAAGAAAGAAGTGTTTGAGCTCTTCATGGATCCTCTGTTTTTCACAATGGAGACTTCTTGTGCACCCAGGTGAACATAAACATTTGATCAGTGCTTAATGTTAGTATTTTTGGGCAATATGGATCGAGGAAATAATCTCACAGTGTTATTGTGGTTCCAGCAACTTTTTTAACCTATTCCACATTATGCAACACCAGTTCAAAAGATGCTTCATTAAATAACAATGATGATGGTTTTAAAGGTTTTTTTTGTTTGTTTTGTTTGTTTGTTTTTTTGTTTCAGTTGGAAATCCATTATTGATCATCTGTTGACTCATGAGAAGACAATGTTCAAAGACCTTATGAGTATGTATGACTTAACATGCCACATCGCTTAATGTAGAGCTAAGACAAACTAACCATGGTTCTTCTATATCTTGGTACAGGTATGCAAAGCAGCTCTATGAAACTATTTGCCAGTGCAGACCAGAAACCTATGCTCTTAAAACGCCAGGCCTTTGCAATGTTCAGTGGAGAAATCGATCAGTATCATCTCTATCTGCCTCTGATACAAGGTAATATTACATCTCGTTATTCATGACTGTATTGTATAACTTTTATCATGCAATGCTTTTCCCCATGGAGATGTTATTGCTTCGTCTTGAATGTTTCACAGTTTGATATTAAACCTTTCTGTATTTATGGAGATCAAACCAGACCGAGTCACAGGTCAGATCTGTGGCAAGGTGACCCCGCTCAGAGCCATAAAACCTGTTTTTCTCTATATTTTTGAGCTATAAAACCACATGTGATTAAATAAATGTAAGGTAGAACTGTTTAATCTCATACTGTAGAACATTTGAGGCAGAGCATTGACGTATTCTAAAAAACAAGCAGGTGTTGGGCCCCCAACCAAAAGTTTGCACCTTTTGATTTGATTGTGCACCTTTAAAAAAAAAAAAAGCTGACCCCTTTTTTACTTTACTTTACTTTACTTTACAGAGCGTCTCACTGAAGCTTTGCGCATGAACCCGAGTGCGGCAGTTTCAGCTCAGATGTTTCTCATGTTTCGAGTCCTGCTTCTGCGCATCTCAGCACAGCACCTCACATCACTTTGGCCAATCATGGTCACAGAACTGGTAAGATTACATCCTTTATTGTTTCACATGGGAGAAAGTTGTCTTTTGGGAAGGGGGGGTCATATGATTTAAGCCCTTCACAGTCTTATACTCAAATAATAAAAAGTGTAGTTATATCAACTTACATGGGCTGTGTTACACTATTGTCTGATTTATGTTATAATCTTGTTTCCTCATCACAAATTTACCTAGAGTTTTCAGATGAAGAGGTAGAGCGCTTCACTGAGTCATAAAAAAAAAAAAAAAAAAAGAAAAAGCAGTACAGGTGCTCTTTGAGGGTTAAACTAGTAGTCTTAAACAGAAAATTGCCCTTACTGGAAATTGTAAAAGTGGGCAAGGTACAAACCCGAGGCACTTCAACTGAATATATTAAAAGTCCTTTATTGCATGAATGGATGCCAACACGTTTCAACCAGCAAGATGGTCTTCGTCAGGGCAAAATGGTAAAACAGGACATACAGGTGCCATTAAATACAATCAATTATCAGTCACATGACAACAGCACATGGCTATTGGAAAAAGAAAAAAAATACCTAGAGTTATGTTTAGTCTCATTCACATATGTTTAACACACAAATCCTGCATAGTTGGGCTGAGTTATTTTCTCAGACAGAAAACTGTCAGGGAATCTACCCAAAGACAATTTTGTTAAAAAAGAACCACTCAGAACGACAAAGTGTAGATACTTGCGCGCAAGGAGTGCGAGGCTGTCTGTCCCTTCCTGCTCTGCCTCTCACACTCCGAGCAGTGCTTTTATTTCAGCACATGACACAAATAGATTACATTTCATGACGTCACATTACATATTGTTCACATGTTATCTCATGACTAACAAGCTTTGGCTAAACTGCCCCCCCATTTCACACTTGATTACATGTTCCAGATGACAGACAATCACTTCGTAGTTCTCCAGGGCCCCATGTTAGCATATGATGGGAAAACCCACTAGGTGTTTTTTTCTACAGTAGATTAGCTTAATGAGTCAGCTGACACATCAGCCATATCAGCTGATGTTTTCATGTAACATACATCTTGAATAAAACAAAAGACAAAGCAATGTTGATAATTTTATATTACATCATGATTAATCTTTAAATGATTCATCCTTTAAATGAGTAACACTTTAAATGAGAAATACTTATAACATAAAAATACTTATAACACAAAAGCACTCTGTTGCACCTTGTGATGTCAAACTCCATACACCTTACCTAGAATCATTTGGATGATTTCAGTACTGGAATTGGCCATCTCTACTGAACAAAAGGTAAAAGGTGAAGTCGACTTCAAAACTACTGCTTCATGGCACAAGGTGGAACAGAACATTTGTGGCTTTGGTGATGCACACAGACTAATAATAAAGGATTACTCAAACATGTGTGAATAAAACAAAACATACCTGCAGGTATATTTTTAATGAGGTAATGGCATCATAATATGGCTTAAAGCTCACAAGAATAACATTTGCGTATTATAGGACCTTTAAACAAACTTTGTCTCAATGTTTCAGACCCGAATATTTGTGCGGTTGGAGAAAACTCTGCATATAGAGAAAGAGAACTCCAAGTAAGTCCATGAATTCACAGTTCCAGCTTGAGACATGGATTGCATTTATTCCAGTACTGATTTTTTTTATTTATTATAGACAGCCAAAAACTGGACGTGGAGACAAAAATGGACCAGTGAACTTCTCGCCGATGGAGTTAGACATGTATCTGTCGGCCTGCAAGTTTCTGGACACTTCTTTGGCTTTTCCAACTGAAAAGATTCCATTGTTTCAGATGTAAGAAATTGAATATTGATCAATGGTTATTATATTGTACAGTGTAACATATGACTGTCACGAATTTTAAGTATGATATATTGCGAAAGAAAATATAGATGATAAATGAAAATGTAGAAACTAATTTATGACATTGACGCACAATTCTCAAAAAAATTCGCAAATTCACAAAAAACTATTCTAAATGTACAATATGGTTAAAAAACACAAACTGTAGTACATAAATAACAGAATGAAACACTTTAGTAGTTTGTATCTATAAAGCTTAAAAGTTATTCATTCAACCTTCTACAGCTCAAATCTAATCGCAGTACAGAAAACTAACAAAATAACAGACTGTTTCCTACTAGTACAAAGAAAAAGTCCCCACAATAAATACTGACTAGGGATATAACAATAATCAAAATATCATGATATTGTATCGTCAAAAGTTTCACAATATCATGGGCTGTCACAATATATCAAATTACAAGTTTCTCTGCTTAAATGTATTGTTTTATGGTAGCAATAGCTTATGAACATCGGGAACTATATATCCCATGATTCATTTCAGCACAGACAACATGAGGTTATGTTTTTTACTTGAATTTTGGGGATTTTGACAGTAATAATTCACACCAAATTCTTGACAGGGTATTTTAAAAGCAAAAAAGCGTCCTATCTACAATTATATTATCCTCCCCAAAATATTGCAGTAAATATCGTATCGTGAGATGCATATCGTCCTAATATTGTACCGAGAGATTTGGATATCGCTACATCTCTAATATTGATCCCCAAAAATTATTGTTCTATTTAACAAATATTGACCATAATTCAATATAGTATTTATCGTGACATGTTTAGTGTAACAATAATGCTTTGGTTCTTGGTGTTAATTCACTACTTTTGAAGGTGCACTGTGTAACTTTTTGGTTGGGGGTTCATCACCTGCTTGCTTCTATGGATATGTCAGTGCTCTGCCTGGAATGTTCCACAGTATGACATTAAAGAGCTCTACTTTACATTTATTAAATTACAGGTGGTTAAATAGCTAAAAAAAAAACTATAAAAAGAGGCATTGTCACTGTAAGCGGGGTCGCCTCTCCACAGATCTCACCTGTAACTTGGTCGGATTTGGTCTCCATGAAGATAGAAAGGTTTAATGCCATACTGTGAAACATTCCAGACAAGGCAATAACATCTCCATGGAGACAATGCACTTGTACCTCTACAAGAACTTTGACATGTGTTTTCTGTCTAATTTGAATTCACTAACTTTTCACATAATGCACAGGTATCGCTGGGCGTTTGTGCCTGAGGTAGATGTGAACCGTTACAGCGGACCAGAAAATGCACTGATCGAGGGAGAGCAGGAGAGCACACCCCATGTCGTTAAAATACTGGAGGGAATTCAGCAGCGCTATGGGGTACGTTTATACCACATTGGATCAGATTCATTATCTTGTGAAATACAGATTGTGCAGATTTGTAGTTATGGTTTTGCTGTGCTGTTGTTTCAGGCTCTAAATGGACTGAGTGAGGAGTCAGCCACAGAGAATTTGGAGTTTCCGCTCCTCACCCAGCGCTCCTTAATGTCGATTACTCAGCTGGTGCCTTTTCTTAGCACTCTCTGCTCCTCATTCCAGGGGCCTCCTCCTTACAGTGAGCCAATGTCCCATTTCCCTGTGGTAGAGTATCCAGCGTCCAGTTCAGAAACGGTGCTAAAGAGGCTTGAAAACACCATCGAGGAAGAGTTCTTGGATTGTATGGAGAGTAAAAACTAGAGCTTTCAGTGTTTAGGCATTGAAATTTTACTAAAACATTCACATGTGGTAAATAATGGGAACTACACAATGTAGAATTGTTATGTTGTGTAATGTATTATATCTGTCTAAAAACATCTCCATACCAAAAGCTTATGCCATTGAAAAAAGCTTTTAAACTATCAATCTGTTTTACCTTCTGTTTAACTTTAGACCTGACTATTATGCATAGTATTTTACCATTTTAAAAAAAACCAATTAATACATTTAAAACTCTGCACTGGTTTCCAGTTGTATGACATTTTCAGGCAAATCTTTTTCATTGGTATTGTGTACAGCATTTTTGGGAATTTCTGACTCTTGAGTGTATTTTAATTTACTGAATGTAATACACAAACACTGGACAAATGACATTCACTTCACTTTGGGGATGTTAAGGGAAAAAACATGTTTCTGTGCAATTATGACATTTTCTCATTTATTCACTGCTAAATGTTAATTTATTTTTGATGCTTCATCCTTTAAGGACTGTATTAATTTTGCATAAATGAATAAAGTTATACAATTAACAAAACTATATTTCTGTTAATCCCCTTCTTTATGCTACACTATTGATACTTTGCAGTGAAATCGTGTTGTATCTACTTATCTACATGTATCTCTATTGGCAGAATGTTCAGCAGTTACCACAGTGAGATGATGCACAATTTGCAATTGAGAAAAAAATTTGAGACAGTCTGAAAAAAAGAAAAAGATTTAAACAACACATTTTCAGGAGCCTGTGATCAATATGAGCGTTCATAGTTTTATTTAGGTGTATTTTACTTAACATGAACAATTGGAAACGGATGTGATTTTTTTTTTTTTTTTAAGTACCTTTTTTTTTTTTCTAGTTATGCATTTTTACACTGATTCACGCTGAACCAACAAAAGAATCAGCACAGAGGCAGAGCAGGCAACATGAGTGAGAGCGTGCACAAGAAAACATATTTGGCATCATAATAACAGCTTTAAAATTATGAATATTGTAGTGCAAAATGTTATGCAGATAATTTCAGTGAGTAAACAACACACTCCCACTCTCACTTTGAATAGAGTGACCAGACATCCCTATTTACCTGGGACAGTCCCAGTTTCAAGCCCTGTGTCCCCTGTCCCAGCAGATTTATACGAAACCAGTGATTTGGCCCAGTTGTATACAAGAAATGTATCAGTTATCCCCATTTCTGACCGTCACCAACAGTAAAGATGGGAATATAATATAGGTATGATGACATTTTCAAACAGACCAAAACTCAAAATGGATCACATAACTAGATAGAGACAATTGCCTTTACAATGACTCCAGGATTGTGAAAATCGGTCAAGGAATGAGAAAGTTATGACATTTTTGATATCGGGATTATATTTAAATATTATACTTTAAATATAATTGAATTCATCTGACTGAAAATTCTATATATTATCTTTTGTTTTGCTAAAATATAGAAACCATGCTTGAAAATGACCATAAGACAAAAAAAAAAAAAAAAAAAGTCAAGTATGGACAATGTTACGTGCTCTTTTTCACAGTTTTATTTATACCAGGGGTGGGCAAACTTGTGGGCCACCACAAGGGGTTCTAAAATTTGACAGAAGGGCTGGTCCAGGAGCAGATGGGTGGAGTTTTTTGGAAATCCACCACATAAGAGAAAAAAATAAAATAACATGGGATAATATAATATAGAAACTAAAATGTAGAAAACGTATCTCATGTTATTGTTAAATCATTACAAAGCATTACAAAAAAATATCTGTCTTTCAAATCCAACAGTATTTACTATTTACTGAAATGACTGAAGATGATTATTATTATTATTGTTCAAGGCTGTAATTTGCCCACCCCTGATTTATACCAAGTATCCCATCCCAGGTGTGTCTGAAAATTTGGTCACCCTAACTCTGAACCATTTCTTAACCATGGTCATTTCAATCTGTAACTTGTTTATTGTTAAAATGAGTTCTCACAATGGCTTTATTATTATTATTATTTTTTTGTTATATAATTAGCTAAATATTAAAAGAGTCAGACTTTTGAACGGCTCTTTAAAATGAATGATGTCCAAAGGTTTTAAATCCGGAAGTCCCATCACTGAAGTCTTATGTCGTACCATGTGTAGTACTGCAGACGGACTGACGGGGGCGCTGTGATGTAGCATGGGGGGTTGTTTACACGCGGAGAATAACAAGGGGCTCCAGAATGATGGCTGCCCAAACAGACCGCGGGATCCCACTGAGCACAGTAAGAACTATTCTGAACTATTTTGTCCTATTTAAAGGCGGATTTCATTTACAATTTATGTGATTTAGTCTGCGATGGCTTGTTTACTTGAAAGATGCTAGTATCCGGTTAAGCTACAGGCTAACAGAGTCCTTACCAAGCTGTTACTACCAAAGTCCCTTGGAAATTTGCGATCTAAAGGCATTTGTTGTTCTTTGAATTGATATACAAACGTGGGCAATAGCATAGTTTTGGTTTTTTTTTTTTTACATTATCTTTATCTTTTATCTTAACCGAGTTTTATCTTATCTGAGTTACTTTCACTTTGCCTCGCCACAATTTTGCATGCGTTTGTTGTTAGAACTTATGACTCATTTCTTAGCGCTCCCCCTTTTCCTATCCTTTTTCTTTGCGTTGTAGCTCTCTCCAAAGTATCTTCACACCAACTCCACCAGCCACACCTGGCCATTCAGCGCCATCGCGGAACTTATTGGTGAGTCATTTTTATCCATGGTTTTATGACCTTGGTTTGCCTCCGTAAACGAAACTTATCCACTGTATTCCAGATAATGCGTATGACCCTGATGTGAACGCCCAGCACTTTTGGATTGATAAAACTGTGGTAAATAAGCAAGAGTGTCTAAGCTTTATGGACGATGGCAATGGGTTGGACTACCAGACCATGCACAGAATGCTTAGGTACATTTTAATTATAACAAAACCATACAAAACTGCCATCTTTAAAGTGCATCGTGTAACTTTTCTGGTGGAGGGTCCATCAAATGCTTTTCTCCGTGGAAATGTTCAGAGGTGGGACTAAGTCATTGTTTTGCAAGTCTCAAGTCTTTGACCTCAAGTCTGAGTCAAGTCCCAAATCAAAAACAAATCCAAGTCGAGTCTTGAGTCACTGGCCCTTAAATCCAACTCAAGTCCAAGTCGTCTGCTTTAAGCTTTCAAGTCTTTAAACCAAAATACCAAATATAGGTTAGATTTTTGTAATTTATATGAATTTTAAACTAAATTATACTTCCTCACCGTGGTCTGAAGTACAATTTAGACTGCTAGTGAGCAGTTGAAACTGTCAGGTATGAAAAAAAATCCTTGGTCTGAAATAAGAACCTAATAACATATTTATATAAGAGTTGTCGCAATGCTCATTTTTCCTTTTTAAATGTCTTCTTGACAAGATCTTAATGTGAATCATTTATGGGCAGAATGAAAAAAATCTGATTTAAAAGCACTTGGAAGGATCATGTTTTATGTAATTCCCTCTGTTTTACTGTATTGTACTGAATTTTACTGTAGTACATTTGATGGTACCATATCACAGTACTTCAGTTACATCCAAAGTAACAAACAGAAGTGGGAGGGACATGTTCCAGTTTGTTCCTGTAAAATTAAGCACTGTATGTCAACTAAAAAGAGGATTTTGTAAAAATATATATTTTTAGGAGAAGCATCAAGTCTTCTCACGTCACAGGGTTCAAAACTTATAAAACTTCCTTTAATAAATGCAAGGTAGAGCTGTTTAATGTTATAGTGTGGAATATGCCAGGCAGAGCAATGACATCTACACAGAAACAAGCAGGTGATGGACCCTCTATTAGAAAAGTTACACAATGCACCTTTAAAATGTATTTATTTGAAAGGAAAAACATTTTAAAAAGTGTTGGCATTTTTTTAGCTTTGGTTACAGCGACAAAGTGGCTCTTAAAGGTGTTCAGCCAATTGGTATCTATGGAAACGGGTTCAAGTCTGGCTCCATGCGGCTTGGAAAAGATGCAATCGTGTTCTCCAAATCCAGCTCTGCGGTGTGCATCGGGATGCTCTCACAGACCTACCTTCAAGAGATTAAAGCAGAACAAATCCGTGTGCCTATCATGTGCTGTGAGCTGAAAGGAAAAACAAATATCCTTTTTTTTAATATAATTGATACACTGTCATCAACATTCCCGAGGGGTGTAACTGAAAGCACTATTCTGTTAGAAGCTCTGTTACTCAGGTTAGACTTAATCTGTGCTTTATTTTAACACAATCTGACAAGAAAAAGATTATTTTGTTGGAACTACAAGTGAGTTGATTTGCGCTTTTAAACAAGTATTTTAGTATTTTATGTTTTAAACAACATAAAATTACACATTATTGTGTGTTAGCATAAAATCTGTTGGTTAAATTCTTTCTGTATTTAGTTTTCAGACCATCTTAAAACCTGTTTTCTGTTTTTGCCAATGTATGCATTGTATCACCATGGTAGCTGCTGAACATTCGGCCAATAGATATGTATTGTACAACACCCCCAATGTGATGGCATTGCAAATACTTTTGATTTATACAGCACTTTTTTGGGCACTAAAATGGTGACTACTGCTCAGGCACACACCAAATTACAACATAACCAATGTGGGTAAAGTGTCTTGCTCAGGGACAGTATGTAGTGGTTGGAGCAGGAATTACACTCATAACTTTCTGGTCTGTAGATGAGCTTTCTTACGTATTATTTGTGCTCATATTTGTTGCCTAAATTGCCCTTGACTTTGGTTTTACTCAATGTAAAAAATGAGCATAAAGCTAGTCTTCAGGACATTCTACGCTATTCTCCATTTAAATCAGAAACGAGCCTGCTCCATGAACTCAATGCTATTGGGCCTTCCTGGTCTGGAACAAAAACAGGGACGCGTATCATAATCTGGAATCTCCGCAGGTATGTCCTCTCTCAAATATTTCATATTATACATTAAAACAGATCCGTAATGAAAGCATACTCGTTTAAACATTTGCAATGTTTTGTGCTCCAACAGAACGTCACAAGGTCAGCTGGAGTTTGATTTTGAATTTGACCGTTACGACATACGAATGCCATCTGATGTCTACCAGGAAATGAATGACACTTCTTACATCCCTGAAAGTTTGTACTCACTTCGGGTAAGGTTTATATATTTTTTGTCCTCAATTACTACCGTACTATTTCTGTGTTTTAATCTGTTACATAAAACACTCATTGCACATTTTCTACAGGCCTACTGCAGTATACTCTATCTGAAGCCTCGATTGCAAATCATGATACGTGGTAAAAAGGTGAAATCTCAGCTCATTGCAAAAAGTCTGGCTCACAGTAGAAAAGACAAATATTCCCCAAAGTTCCTTGTATCCTTTCATTTGTACAATTGCTTCTTTTTGACATGATGATTAATGAATGCATAATATGTACTTGTACACTGCAAGTATTTTTTCCTTAACTTTTATTTTAGAACAAGAGTATTCCTATTATTTTTGGGTATAACACTGTAAGTAAAGATCAATATGGTATTATGATGTATCATAAAAATCGACTGATAAAAGCGTATGAACGTGTGGGCTGCCAGCTTAAGGTAAGACCATCCTGTGCACTGGTTTATTCTACTTTTAATGACTGTGATTAAACAATGTAATATTTACAAATGATAGGCTGACAGAAAAGGCGTCGGTGTCATTGGAGTCATAGAGTGTAACTTTCTGGATCCCACTCACAACAAACAAAGCTTCGAGGAAAATGATAAGTACAGGTAGGATTCTTGTTAAAACGTCAACAGGTTTTTATAGCTTTGTTTTTACTGTTGAAGTCTAACAGTACACAAATGTGATTTTAGGAAAACTATGAGCAATTTGGGGACCAAGCTGGAGGAATACTGGAAAGAAATCAGATACAGGAGAGCCAAAGAAGATCCGACTGGCCTACCAGTAGAAGATACAATGTAGGCACTCAAATAAACTTATTGCACATACACCATTGTGCTTTGTATTTTAAAGCTACCATCTGAAAGTTTAGATTTTTTTGTTACAAGTAGATGGTAGATAGAACCCATTTCCTCCCTGCTCTGACCTCAGCTGACCTTTGTTCAGGTTCACCTGTGCTGTCTGGACTTGTTATGTCAGGTCAAAGCTGGCACACTATCAGACTGCAGTAACGTAGACAGCATCTAGTGATGCAATGTAGAGAAGTGCAAATAGCAGCACCATATATACCATAATGAAATACCGTGAATGTATTTGTCTGCACCTGTATGTGAGAACTAAGTCAAGTTTGTTGATTTATGGGCTTTATAGATCATAGATGTATAGATTTGTGGACTTTATAGATCAATTATTAATTTTCCTCTTTATTTTGGTGGTCAGTCAGTGTATTTTAACTTTTATTTTCATAGAATGACTTCAAATACACCCACAACGTTGGAGCTCAAATGTTTTCTTTTTCCCATGTAGAGTTAGATTAGTTACATAGATATTGTCTTGTTCACTTCACTTTTCTGTTGTGTAGCGTCTGATTAGTTTAGGTTCAATGTATTAATCCTATACTAATATGTTTTTGTATGTTTAATCTCAGTAAAAAGCCAGACCAAAACTGGGTGCAGTGCGATGGGTGTTCTCAATGGCGAAAACTTCCTGATGGGATTGACTGCTCAAAGCTTCCAGACAAATGGTACTGCTATATGAATCCAGACCCCCAATTCAGGTAAGCAAAGTGTAGCCCGTAAGCAGATATATAAATGGACATAGTTAACCCGCTAGCCATGTTGTTGGACATATATATATATATATATTTTGTCCATAAATAAATTCCTATTCATAATACAGAACTCTTCTCCAAATTTGCTCCTCTAACTGCGCCCCTATTATTTCATGAGCTTCATTTGAATGGACCCGGATACTATTGGTCCCGTCACACTCTCCACTTCTTTATACAATGTGTGGTGTCTAAAATCTAATCAGAAGCTAATCTAAATCCGATCTTAAGTACAGCATAAATTATACATAACAACACAGTTATAATATGTATAACTATAGTTAATAATAATACATTGTAATGCCCTTTTTATCTCGTCCCATGTTTAGGAGTTGTCAGGTTGAAGAGGAACCTGAGGACTCTGGTGACGAGCAGCCTTCATACTGCAAGACCTACAAACAACAGTGAGCGCTCTATTCATTTAGGCTTTGGTACTGTAAATGTAATGAGCATAAAATGTTATATAATCACAGATAATGTGTTTACAGTTCAAATCTTTTCAAATATGTTATATTTTTATAGGGAAAGGGAAGAGAAAAAGATGCAAGAAAGGAGAAGACAACAGGTGAGAATAATGCTTTGATGAGCCACAAAAAAGGTCTGCTTTATGTGATTTACAATGTTCATGTTTTGTATTTTATTGATGTGTTAATTAATTATTAATTGGATAATCAATTATTTGCCATTAGGGAAAACACTTTTACTAACTACTAATATCTGATTTCATGCTGTTCAGAAAAGAAACCACACTATACCATCTGAGAACTGTCACTTAAGGCCAACTGTACAAGTCCTGTAAATCCCATTTGTTTATGTAAAATGTATTATAATGACATTAAGACATAAGTTGAGAATTAATTAATATTAAAGCCTGAAAATCAAGTAAAGACACTGAACAGAACAGGTGACCCTAATTTAAATGTTGTATAACTACTTGTGTTGCACAGGCTGAGAGAGAACAAAAGCAGAAAGAACAGCAAAGAGTGGCTGCTCAAGTCAAACGCCAAACAGAGGCCATTCTGCGGCAGCTACGCCAAGATGTATATTTATTTGATTTGTTTGTTTATTTGTTAATGAAAATATTGTGAGAATCATGGCATTTTTTCAAACTGCTATGTTGTTTTATATCAGACCGCATCTTCGTCTTCCCCTCCAACCACACCAACCACACCAAGGAGCAAGATGAAAACACATGCAGTACAGGGTGGTTCTCCCCTAACCCCTTCAACCATCTCACAAGCTGGTACGATTTTTAATTTTCATTTTGTATGTACTTTTTTTATTGTTAATATCATATTCTCTCTTTTGCCTTTTACAGCCTGCAGTCCCTCCACTAGCAATGGTCCAATTATTTCAAATGTATGCTCTTTGGCTTCAATGTTAAGGTATAAATGTTATGAGTTTCTAACCTACAATAAATTATCAGCAAATGCAAAAAAGTGATAGCACAATTTAATAAATATGTGTCATGTTTTCTTTTTTATGATTGTGTCGTTGTATGTCCAGGAAAAGGCAGCAGCCCAGCACTCCAGACACCACGCCTAAAAAGCCAAGAGTCGGCGAAGTGAAAAATAATGTTTCAGATCAGGTTTCGTCTTTGGATGCGAGTTCAGTCAGATCCCCATCAATCCCCATTGACGACAGTAGTGACGATGAAACAGATGATGATCTTGTCATATTGGAAGTGCACAGTACACCTAAACCTAAAAACACAAATCCTGCTTCAATCACAGTAAAGACTGAGCCCACAGAGAGTGAGAGTGGTGTGAACCTGCTGCTGGAGTGCACTGATGATGCAGCTGTCCCCTCTGCAGCTTCTGTGAGTGTGGCTAACATCACCACACAAACAGAAGCTCCAAAAATTAAAAAGGAAGAGACTGATCAATGGAGTACAAGGCAAACAAACAATAATAATGACACCCCAGTGGCTTGTAATTCCATGGACACTGAAGACTGTGAGAAAGATATGAAGGAGGAGCCCCTCAGTCAGCCTGTGCAGAATGGAATTACACCTGGTCCAGAAAGTAATGATAATCAAAGCCCTGCTGATGATGTGGATGACAGGGCATCCCCATCTTTGCTGAGGTCTGACTTTTCTGCAAGGAAACAACTAGAACTGGACCAGGTGTCAGAGCTCAGACGGGAGAGAGACTCTTTAAAGGAGCAGGTACAGCAGCTACAGTCCCAGCTGGAGGAGTTGGAGACTAAAGTAGATGTGTCTCACGTCAATGTAAAAAAGGAACGAGATGAGCAAGATGCTAAGGAAGGACAGAACTCACTGGACTACAAAACACTGTTTGAGAATGCCAAGAGCAAAATCAATGACCTCATAAAAGACAAGGAAGCTTTACTGGCAGCTGTGAGGGTCAAACCCAGTCCTGAAAGTGAAGAAAAGGCCATGGATGAGATCGCTTTGCAGGTGGATAATCTCATGAGGCAACTGGATGAAAGAGACAAGGAGAAAGGGCAACTCCTAACACAGGTCAGTTTGGGGCTGTGTGTTTATGTCCTGTTTATTCAGTTTTAGGTTTCAACCACAGTCTATGTTTTGGGCTCTGTATTTGCTTTACTTAGTTGGAGTCAACAAAGAAGGAGATGGCCGGTCTGGCATCTGAATGTGAGTCTCTCAGATTGACTCTTCAGCAAATTAAAGAAAATGCTTCTGCACGCATTAATTCATCAGTGCAAACAGATGCTCAAGAAACACCAGCTGATCCTGGGCCTTCATCCAACACTGATGCCTTTCGGAGGTAAACTATTTAGAAACTGCAAAAACACACATTTTCTTTGGCTGGTTATTTACATTGTGTTTTTCTCTTTTTTTCTGTTTGATTCTCAGTTTGGTTTCACTGCGGCGCAATGTTAAACATCTTCTCGTCACATATGTTAGTTTCAATCTGGATGAAGTGAATTATGAGGACGATGTAATAGATGGAATTTTAGAACAAGTTCTACATCTCAATAATGTTGGATCAGGAAATGCTGCATCAAGTGATCAAGGACCATCAAGTGATTAGGAGTTTTGTTGAATAATACTCTAAATGTTGAAAATAAATCAGCTATACATAACTTATAATGCATTTTAAGGAGAAAATAACAGAAAAGCAATAATGTCCATAATATTTGTGTTTTTAAAACTTTTTAAAAGAAGGACATTTTATACTGTTTCTATGCTATTCTGTTAAATAGGTCTACTGTTGCCTGTGTGGCTTTTTTTTTCTTATTGTGTCTGTATTTATTTTTTTAAGCATTAAAAAACATTGTTAAAAAATAAACCGATGTCTCTAACAGAAGTGCGTTGAGCCTTGAAGTAGTTACAAAAAGGCACCACACAAAGATCACACCTAAACATAGCAAAAAAATCAAAATACAATTGAGAAGAAAAAAAAAAAACACATTCATGAACAAACTAAGGGGGCAATTCTAAAGCTTCTAATCAAAGGAACAAATCAACATCGTTCAGAAAGGACACAAGAAACCCGGCTTCCCTTCTTTTAATGAGTTCAGTGAGTCAACAAAAAGTCTAAAGTGCGTTATATTGGTTTTATCTTAAAAAACAAACGAACAAAAAAAAAAACATTTGTGAATTAAAAAAAATACTCAAAATCAATAAATTATTAATACCAAATTATTTTCTTTCAACTTCTCTTAATACACCAGGTTTTATTTCTTTTATAGTTAGAGGGGCAAATTGAATTCCCCTGGACTGAAGCAACGAATGAAAATCAAACCAAATTTGTTGTACCATGAAAGGAAAAGGTGTTCCAAGTCCTCTTCCCCTGTCACACATTTACCTGTCTCAAATTAGATTTTTTGGGTTTATTGGAATTCATTGTTTGGATAAATTTTATTTAAAAAAAATTATTATGTCTCTTTTACTTTAGGGGGAACTGGAAAGGAAAGACAGTAGTTACAAAGTATTTAATGTTTAGTTACTTAAAATGATTTCGCATCCTCACAAAGTCCCACCTTTTCCGTATTTTTGACCAATCACACGTGTTCTCTAAACCGGATGTTTGACTGAACAGTACATGGAGCAGTACGCGGGAAATTGGTAGCTGTGCACAAGCGGGAAGAGGTAAATATACGTGTATTTAAAGTGTATTTAAATCTTAACACTTCGCAATAATAGACCTTTTGATTCTGTAGGCCATTGTAACGCGTTCGTAGACGACATAACAAATTAAGTGTTTGTAAAATGCATTTCGGTCTTGTTATTAGAGGCTGTAGCCGCTCCTGCTGCAGCCCCTCTGCCTAAAATGTTTTGTGGACGTAGTAGTAACATGTTCTAATAAAATAACACACGACTGTTCCATTTGAAGTTAAAAAAATGAAGGTGGTTACTTGTGAGATCGCTTGGCACAACAAAGAGCCGGTCTACAGCCTGGACTTTCAGCATAGCTCCGATGGACGCACGCACCGACTGGCCACGGCTGGAGTGGACACCACCGTCAGAGTGGGTGCTTTTTTAATATGTCTCCATGGAGAGATTTGTCTTAACCCGCGTTCTTTAAGGGAATGACATGTGCACTTTTCCGGGGCTGTTGCAGTTGTGGAGAGTAGACCTGGGGCCCGATGGAAAAGCTGTTGTGGACTTTCTGTCAAATTTGTCCAGGCACACAAAAGCTGTGAATGTGGTTCGATTCAGTCCCACTGGAGAGCTGCTTGCTTCAGGAGGCGATGGTGAGTTTTTTTTTTTAAAAGGTTCACACCAAACATAATTTATCGTGTAAAGTGCATCATTTTTGTCTCCCAGATGCTGCCATTCTTCTGTGGAAGCTGAATGACAGTAAGGAGCCTGAGCACGCTCCTGTGTTCCAGGACAATGAGGAGGCTCAACTCAACAAGGAGAGCTGGTCTGTGGTGAAAACGCTCAGGTAAAAAAAATAAAAATAAACAGTTGAATGCATCTACAACTATCAAAGCATAAAGTAACTATTCTAAATGTTTTTTTTTTTTTTTCTGTGAATAGAGGACACATAGAAGACGTATATGACATATGTTGGGCCAGAGATGGAAACCTGATGGTCTCCGGGTCTGTGGACAACACTGCCATCATGTGGGATATTAACAAAGGTTGGCCCCCAATAATTATTACCTGCTTACAAGTTTTAATGTTATATCTTATCTTGGCTGTATCATTTTGGTCACACATGAGCTTCAGTTGAATGTTGATGACTGCTGTTAATTTATAAAACTATATTTTTATTTGTATAGGCCAAAAGCTCTGCATTTTAAATGACCATAAGAGTTATGTCCAAGGAGTGGCCTGGGACCCACTGGGGCAGTATGTGGCCACACTGAGCTGTGATAGGTACAGTATAGTCAGGAGTTTAAAGTCTCTTAAGTTGTCTCATGGCTTGATGACTCATTGTTATGTTGTGTAACTGCAGAGTCATGCGTGTGTACAGTACCCACACTAAGAAGAAAGCATTCTGTATAAGTAAACTGAGCCCTGGGCCTGTTCCAGAGGCGGATGTAAGTACACCTTATTAGACTTGTCATAGTTACCAGTTTGATTTCCAGTTATTAGCACTGTAGTAGTTTTCACTTCTCTCCATATTCTTGCAGTCTAAACCTTTCCGAATGTTCCACGATGACAGTATGAGGTCATTTTTTCGGCGCCTTTCATTTTCACCTGATGGGTCTTTCCTGTTTGCCCCAGGTTCATACCCCTACAAAAAAATCAAAGATAGGGTTCCTTTATAGACAACGTGGTAAAATATATATATATTTTTTTATTTCAGCTGGCTGTGTCGAATCTGGAGAAAGCATTATAAATACCACTTACATATTTTCTAGAAAAGGCCTCAAAAGGTAAGTTTTTGTCCAAAATTAAAGAGAAAAGTATTTATGTTTTGAAGTCACTTAAATTATTCCCTGTTGTGTGCAAATGTTTTATGTAATGAATTATGTGGTACTGTTTGTGTGATTTTTATTTACATAAAACTATTGAATGTATGTCTCACTCAGTATAGTAATAATACTTGTAAATCTTCAGGCCTGTGGCTCACCTCCCATGCCCATCAAAGGCTACACTGGCTGTGCGCTGCTGCCCTGTGTACTTTGAATTGAGGACCAAGAAAACAGAAGGCAAGTATTGCGTGACCAGACCAGCTTGTCAAAGCCGGATCCCGTCAAATCAGGTGCCACAGTCGAGCACCAGTGGCAAACACTGTCATTGGGTCCTCAGGCAAGGCACTTCACCCACATTGCCTAGTATGAAAGTGGTGTGTGCGTGAGTGGTGGTGGTGCTCAGAGGGGCTGATGGCACAGATTGATAGCCTCACTTCTGCCCCAGGGCAGCTGTGGCTACAATAGTAGTTTACCACCACCCGGTATGGAATGAATGAATAATACTCTGTCATGCATCTGAGTGTCTAAAAGCTATTTAATCTGATGCATTATAATTATATTTTTATTTGGCTTTTAAGTTTTTTTCTTTTAACTAATGTTTATGTTTAATGCAAATAACCTCCTGTATGTTGTTAGATGGATCTGTGGAGACTCTTCCAAATGTGTTCCAGTTGCCGTATCGGATGGTTTTTGCTGTTGCATCTGAAGACTCCATCTTTCTTTATGATACACAACAGACCCTTCCTTTTGGTTTAGTCTCCAACATCCACTATCACACACTCAGTGATCTAACATGGTAAGGACTGCAAAATGATAATTTATATTATCTAATATAAATTGCATTTGTCTTTTCTGGGTCTGTGGCTGTAACTTGTTTTCATTTGTCTCAGGTCACAGGATGGGTCCTTCCTGGCTGTGTCTTCTACAGACGGTTACTGCTCTTTTCTATCCTTCGCTCCTGGAGAGTTGGGAACTGCTCTGAAGGAGCCTCCTCCTCTAGAGCTCTTTACTCCTGTCAGTGGAGCTGAAAAGAAAGGGAAGAAAAGTTTAGGGAACAAAACCTCATCTCCTGGTTCTCAACCAACAGTCCCAGTCCCACCGAGCACTGGTAAAGACCCCTCTGCTCTCCCATCAGCTTCCACAGCTACACCAGAGGAAAAGAAGATCTCAAGTGCCAAATCCAAACCTCAGCCACGCAGAATCACCCTTAATACTCTTGAGGGCTGGGGAAAACCCACTAACCCTAAATCTGCCCCTCAGAGCCCCAGTGCTAGTTCTCCTTCCACTCCTCAGCCACACACAGCTCCCCTCACACCCTCCAGCTCTTCTGCTGCTCAACCTCGGATTGCCCCTCTAACTCCATCCACCCCCAAAGTGCTCAACAGCACCAACACATCGGGATGCACTACTCCAAAAGGAAGAACCACCCCAAAGGGACCTACCCCCAGGTTTGTTTTACAGTCATCACTTAATTGCAATGTATATTTGATCAAAGGAATAACTCAACAAAAATTGCTCTTATATTTCTTGGTCAGTACCAAAACCAATATTGAAACATGGTAAAGTCACCAATGACGATATAGTAATAATATTGATATGGCGCCAATGAGTCATCAAGAGACTGTCAAATGAAACAAAGCAGATAAAATGATAGGACATGGTGAGAATTTATGAATAATTGTTTTTCTTCCCTAATCTGCCCTGCCATAACCTGTCAGACTGGAGAGGCTGTAAACTCTGTGTTAACTCTGTACACACCACTTTCTCCTTATTTACGAACAAAACAATGTAATGATATTGTCCTACTTCTGCATTTTATGCTATTTTCATAATAACAATGCATCAGTAAAAAAAACAAAAACATAAATTCATCAAATTGGGATATTCAAGCCACCTTCATATAAATTACAACTTCTGTGAAAGAGCTTTGTTAAAAAAGGATTTTTTGGTAGAATTGTTGATTATATTGATTATTCTGTCAATGAAATAGATTAGTCAAGGATGCATGAATGAGATTTTTATGAAGTTTTAATTGTTCTGGCCAATGTTAACTCTATGGAGTTTAGTTTGATGTGAGAGGTTCTTTGGACCCCCATCAGGTATACACTAATGACAACATTAGTGTCTTAGCGTTATGTATAAAAAAAAAATCCTAAGTTTGTGAGACTGCTGTGAATGTATGAATACAACCTTGACACAAAAAATAATGTACAGAATTGTATTGTTGTTGTTCTATGTGTTCCGTGTTTTAGGCGGGTGTCTCTGACTCCAGTTGCAACTCGATCACCAGCAGCCAGCTCACTCTTCACAACACCCTCATCCACAGAGAAGGCTAAACATGGTCAGTTTGTGAATATGATGGATGTTCAGACTGCAAATATACTTGAATATATTTAATATGCTGATCATTTTGACAAGTTTTGTGATTATATTTGGACAAAGGCAATTGGTAATATCCTAATAACCTAATATCCACATTTGAGGAAGATGTCTTGTACTCCTGTACAATTGAAAAGCATAAATATCATCCTGATAGTCTAATAAAGGTTCGATTATCTGATATTATCTCTAAAAACTAGAGAGTGTACATCCTGGGTATGACATAAAACTACACCCAGTGACAGGGCTCAGAGTCAAGAGCACTTGTTTTTGTGGGGTTGTGGAGGGGTCCCTTAAATCCCCCTCGAAAACGAGGTGACTAACCTCAAGGGGTTTTCCTTAATAAAATAAACGTATAAAATAAAAAAAAAAAAAAAAAACACGGTTCCCAAAACTGGTAGTACCTGTACAGGGTGCTATGTCTGTTTAGACAAAGACTGATTCTCTTCAGACTTGAATACATGTATACATACTCTGAGTTTGATGTGTTCACCTAATGAAACAAAACAGACAAAAGTTTGGTGCTCAGTGCTTCGTTTCTGGTGGAGGTATGCTACCATCTTATTTTCATTGAGATTATATGGCTTTATCCCCAGTATGGCATTAAACAAATATGTCTAGCATTTACTCCTTTACAGGAGTTTTCATTGCTCAAAAATACATTAAGACAAATGTACTTTGAGGCAGGATTGCCTTTCCACGTAACAGAAAAGCATGAAGCCATGACATATGCTCTTTAATGTCATATTGTGTAACATTCTTATTGCAAAGCAGTAACTTCTCCATGGTGTCAAACAAATGGCGACCTTCCCACTGGAAAAGTGAGTGTAGCTTTTAAACATGGAAATGTACAGGAGGTGTTGGCCTAACAGCCTGCATTACAATGCAATATAATACAATACAATATACCTGATTGCCCCATTGGGGAAACTTGTCTTGTGCAATAGTACTTTACACATTTTAAAAAAGAAACACGTCACAAGTCACACTCAATAAACACCATTAACAGCTCTGATTTCTTTCTACACACTTTGATTTAGGAACCTTTTATGAATGTTAAATGTTGGTGAGAAAATACATAATTTAATTGAACCACAAGGCCCATTAATTAAACACACTTGTTTATATTTTTGTAGAACGGCCCTCTCCCCCATCAGATCCAGTGTGCCTGCCTCCAGAGTCCAAAAGACCGAAGACTGACGGTGAATCTGCAGAGAAGAGTAGCAGCTAGACGAAAATATCTCTGAAGGTGTCAATGAGAAGCCCCATAGACAGTATCGCTAAAACAACAAGCTCACTTGTTTGCAGGTGGTTATAATATTTCTGTGATGTAGGGTCTCTGTTTTTGTAACCTTTTGATTATTAAACTACAGTGATGGGAAAAATACTTTTATTTAGTTACAGAATACTGAATACCTACATTAAAATGTATTTTTTAACGTATTCCAATACATGGTTCAATCAGAGTACTATAGTCTGAATACTTTTACTTCAAGATTAATTTAAATTATAGTGTAAAGAGGCGACATATAGTATTAAAAACAGGATTTAAGCATTTGATATCACTCACTGGAGATGGAAAAATGACAGGCAGTCACCACAAGAGCAGAGTTGTCTGTTATCTCACAGATTACGTGCAGCCTAAATTACATGATCATATACTACCGTAATGTATACCTTTTGATTTTAGAAAAGTTACCGTATTCTGTATACTATTAAATGAAAATTAACTACCGTAATGCAGTTGGTATTCAGAATACATATTCTCGGTACATGTTTCAGTTAATTTCTGTCACTGTTAAACTATAATCATATTGTATCTTTTATATTGCTCTTTTATGGATTAATTTGTTTTTGTAACCACAGTTGTATTTGAATACACAATTGATGCATTTTATTAAGAAAAAGTATTGTATGAAGCTTTGAATATGGATAGAAATTTGCTGAAAATGGCATAATAAAGAAAAATACTTGTGATTGGGGGTGTTTTTATAAATTACATACTGTAGATGACATGCTTTAGTTATTTACAGGAAATGTTGGATAAAGAACATCTTACCATGCTGTAGAGACAGTGCTGTGTGTAAGAGGGCAGTCAAAAAACAAGTGGCATAACAAGTTACACGATGTTAACATAAATATAATGTTACAATAAAATCAAAATTACCACGTAAAGCCTCAGGATCAGTCTACAGGTGAATGTACTGTATTTAATTGCATTTATTCCCATTTCCACGTTAATGAACAAGCTATAATCAATCTTAAATTACATTAATGTGTTTTCGGATGGCATAATGTATTTTAGTAAATATAAATTATGTGTATTACGTCAACTTCGCTGTGCAGCAAGCATACAAGCATAAACTGGAAGGCAGCAAGTGAAGAAGATACTAGTACAGCTTAGTCAACCTACCTTGATATAAGTAGGCGCAAACTTACGTGATTGACAGCTCTATTGGCCAATCAGATTCCAGAAAGCGGAAGTTCTTTAAAGCTCTAACTAATCGCTTTTGTTCAGAGGCGGGGATTAGGTGGATTGGTTAGGCTGACGATTAGCAACAAACAGAAGGTTACGAGTTTAAATTTTTGGATTATTTGTCACACAGACTGGATTTTTGTCATCGTGAGTGTCACGATCCACGTCGAGTGTCTATGATGCGATATTTGGCCCGCTTTGGAGGCGGCCCCGGGGCGATCTGAAACATGAGTGCATATCGCGGAGACAACCTCGCTTTTAGGTCGTTTCAAGCGGCGATGCTGAGCTGAGAGCTGCGTCATCATGTTGCTTCCGACCCGAGTTGGGCAAAAGAAATCTCAAGTTAAAGCCAGGGGTAAATCTGTTCACCGCCAGCCAGCGTTGGAGACCACTCCCGAGTCCTGAAATAGATGGGAAATGGGCTACCTTTGAGAGAGGAGCGCTGGAGCCTTAGCGCAGCGAAACTAGTGACTTTCTTGTCCCTTGGCTGTTGGCGCGATATTTCCCTGGGTGAATTTATTATCTACACTTGGCTGGACATACATAAATATTCTAAAGGACAATAACCACTAAATTACCACATCATGTTCCAAAAGGCCTTCTGAAAACTTGGTGTGTATGAGTTTTGACATTGAAGTACAGCGGTTTCGAAATGATGCTTTGACAGTGTCCAGTGTAGGCCTGCGTAAAGAGATGTAGCAATTTGATTGTTTACGATGGCCATAACGACAAGCGTCAACACTGAAATATAAGTGATAATATGGAAGGACACTAACTCAATGGCCTTTTAATAGTACATTAGTTGGACTACTAAACAATGTATAATGCAAATTGTTGTTAGGTGTGTAATCTGTTGCGTCCTGTCATTGCAGGCACGTGGACTTTGTTTCAGAATGGTGCACAAAGTTTTGGTGGGGTGCTCCCTGCTGCAAGGGTCCCACTAATCTGAAGGTGTCAATTACTGCTGCTCGAGAGAGACTCGCTCCTATATAGGTGAATTGACTGTATTTTAGTCTAAATCAAGCGCTTTGCAAATGGCTGGTGACTGCACCCATAGCAACGCTCAGTACGCGCACACGGAGAGGTTTTGTCCGTCCAAATCCTGGTCAGACACGGACCGGGAGATGGAGGCATCCGAAAACTCGGAAGGGCGTGGGCGCGCGGCGCGTTTGCTGCCACACTTTGAAGTAATTGATGGACTGCTGTACCGCAAAAAACTTGAGAGAGGATTTATAAATTACCGAGAGGTATTGGATGAAGACCGGCGACAAGAAGCCATTGGCACGTTTCACCGGCGACGTCCAGACCAGCGCCACCTCTCCTTGGAGGACACTTACAAAAGTGTGGCTGATAACTACTGGTGGGATGGTAAGAGCATCACTTGTGTTCAGCTGACTTTCTAAGAGGCTGCATATTCATATAGCCCAGATAATCCAGATCTAGTTTTGTGAACTGACACGAACACAAACTCCTAGTAAATATCCTAAATACTGTGCTGTATTTCACAGGGATGTATTTTCACATCAAAGACTTTGTCCTAAACTGCCCCGAATGCAAAAGGCAGTGCAACAAGAAACATGTAAGCACAAAATTGGTTCATTTAATAAAAATAATACTTTTTGATTCACCATTTTACTGTCTGCGTGTCATAATATGTAACGTATGCTCTACTCTGTCATTGCCTATTAGGGACTGGAGAGCAGAACACGTGTCACCAAAACCATGGCGTCATACAGCAGTGAGCTGCTGAGCAGGCTGAAGAGTCAGAGGGACGCTGGACTCTTCTGTGACATCACTCTGCGCACCAGCGGCCGCTCTTACTCTGCACACAGAGCAGTTCTAGCAGCTGTCAGTGACCACTTCCAGGAAATTTTCAACGAGATGGATTCCAGTACCAAAGCTGACGTAGATCTGACTGGTAACACATTGGCACTTGCATTACTCACTTAAGTCAGTTTGAGATCAGTTTAGTTTCAGATTAACACAAAATATTCATGTCAAGTAAATATTAACTATGGTCCATAGTTCCGATTTCATATCTATAGAATGAGGCATTCATTTCAGTTTTATCTTTATTTTTAGTTTATTTTAATATCAAAGAGAAAGAACAAAGACATCCCACAGTCAACAGTCATAGTCGCTGTGTATGGTAATATTGAACCAGTCTATGCTAGAGCATTCGTTTTCCCTCTTTGCTCTAAAACCTGTGATTTCTTTTGCCTCAGATATTAAGTTCATCATTGCTTTGATCTAATTGGTGGCAGTGATTTTGCATGTCTAATGAAACACTGTTCTTTTGTTCAGGTTTCAGTGAGGACAGCCTTGTGTCACTGCTGGAGTTCTCATACTCCTCCACCCTATCTGTTCGAAAGGAGGATCTCCCTGAGGTGGTCACACTGGCTCGTCACTTGGGCATGTGGCCTGCAGTGGAGGCCTGCAGTGCCCTCATGAAAGAACAGGAACGGCCACCTTTCATACACCACACCCCCCTCCGTCCATGTAGAAACCTGACCTTTGGCAGTCCCTGTCAAGAGCAGAACTTCTTGCTTCGAGAGGGCCGGAGAAAAAGAGGCTTTGGTTTCCATGACAGCCTGGATGACAGCTTCTCTCTGACACTGGAGGCATCAGACGAGTCAACAGAAATCAGTCCAAGGCGCATTTTACGTCAAACCCCAAAACGCCAAGGCCATAATGGCCTCCCTTTGAGTACATCTCCAAGAATGAAACTTATGGACTTTAAGTCCCCTTCGTCAAAGAAGCCAACTTATTCACCAGTGTCTCCTCCACACACTCGTCTTCTCCGGTCCACTCCAGGAGCTGCTAAAGAGCTTCAGAGGCTGCTGCCACAGTCTGACAGCTCTTCGCGATACAAGAAAACTCACTCAAGCCCTCAGCGCTCAAGCTCTTCTAGAACTAAGCCTAGTGCTGTCTGCAGCCCAGTGAGAGTGAAGCAGGAGGCCCCTGATGTCGGAGAAGATGAGGAGGATTACGAACGAGCACAAGAGAAGTACCAACTGATGCATGTTCTGGGGCTACAGAGGACTGCTCTCCTGCCCAGACCAGAAGATCTGGTTGGATGGAGACAAAAGAAAAGGCTAAGGAAACTGAAAGCCAACAATTATTCACTAACCAAAAGAAGGAAACCCCGTATCTCAACACCAGTACTACCTTATAAGGGTGTGACACTGGCACTTCCTCTCTGTAACCCGGTTAATGTTCACCTCCTCCGTAAAACAGGGAAGAGCATGTCTGCTAGTCAAATCACAGCACGTGAAATGAATGTCAAGAAAACAAAAGGCCCCCCACGGCGTGTTCCCCCCAGTGACAGGAGCATGCGGAGTAAAGGAGTAGTACCTGATGTATTCCAGCCCCCTTCGAGGCTCTCCTGTGGAATGCGGGAGCTGAGGGAGCTGGTCAGGAAAGGTGAGGGGACACATCTGCGCTCTCAAAGGCCACTGAGACATAACACCCCTAAAATAACAGCCAAACATTCAGTCAGGATCAAACCAGAACCAGCAGAATACTCCATCTCAGGTGTGTCTCATACTACCCCGCCTTCACAGAGGACACAAGCCAAATGTAAGGGGGCAGATGCTGTCAGAACGCCTCGCTACAACAGCAGTCGGCCCTCACAGAAGACGAAGCTTAGACAGGAATCCACTAGAGGGCCAAAGACAAACGGTAAAGCTATAGATGAAGTCAAGAATAATGAAGCTGGTGGACGAATGCCTGAGAATACACCCACTTCCATCTACAATCATGCACTGTATAAAGTAATTAAGGAGGAGCCAGCAGAACCCATCCCAGTGGGCCAGTTCTGTGATCCTCCTTCTCCGGACCTTGGCAAACGCCAAAGCAAGCCCCCCATCAAACTGCTAGACTCTGGCTTTCTGTTCAGTTTCTGCCGGTCTCCAGGGGGACCGATGGGACTGAAGAAGGAGGAGGAGAGCGTGGACATCTGCCTCACCCGCTCAGTGGCTCGGTTCAGAGGAGAGGAGTCCCATAGAGCTCTGAGAGCCAGAGCACCCCCACCAGCATCCACAGTGAAGAGAGAGAGAGTGGAGAGGAGGACAAACCAGCGAGACCGAGCAAATGCAAGAAAAGTGCACAAACTGCCTGCATCTGCTGTGCCAAAGGTCACACTCAACATCTCAAAGGTGGGTTCAGTTTTGGGTAAGCATAATGGAGTGAAGCACAATTGGCAGATTTGAGATAATTAATGTGTTTCTCACGTTTGTCACTGCTATGATTTCAAACTTAAAAACCTTTAACTATAAATCTGTTTCTTTTCAGAAACCTGTTTGTAGAACAAATTAAAGTTAAATCTGAGGGAATAAAGATTGGGCAAGGATTTGGAGGGAGAACATTTGTGCAAAATTGGTAGTAGTAGGCACTAGTCTTGCTGTGAAAAATATACAAATATAGGGGTTTTTGACTAAGGGCAGCAATAATGTATTGTGCAAAAGCCAAATGGCTATTTTTTATTGAACTTTTAATAAATAATTCTGCTTTTGTTTGTCTGTGACAGAAAGGCAATGTGACGTTGAGCAGAAGGAACTGCGTCATATTGGACTCTGTGCACAGAGCCAGACTAAAGCAGCTTCGAGGGCCACGTAGCCAAGCCCCCAAAGCCCCAAAGTCTGCCCATGTGTGCCCCCAGTGCCCTTCCTCCTACAGGGACTGTGACGCGCTCATGACTCACCGACTCAGGCACATTGAAGGCAAGCACTGGCCATGTCCGGTAAGAACTGTTCCTGTTTTTACAATGGGGGAAAACGGGCTTTCAGAATTATGTGAATTGTATCCATTTGAATGGATATTGTCTGCACCTAAGCCCTGTGCTCTGTGTTGTGTAGCTCTGCAGTAAGACGTTCTTTAGACTGAGAAACGTCCGAAACCACATCCGCACTCATGACCCCAAACTGTACAAGTGCCGGAGCTGCATAGCTGCTGGTTCCTGTGGCTGATTCAAACCTGCTGAAGGTAAATAATGGCATTTCACATTCTGTGGTGTGTGAGTGTGTGTTGGTCGGAGGGGCAGAGGGCACAGATTGACAGCCTCGATAACATCAGTCTGCCCCAGGGCAACTGTGGCTACAATAGTATCTTACGAACAACAGTGTGGAATGAATGAATAATGTGATGATAATAATAATCAATAAAACAATTTGTTAACAAACATAGATTTGTATAAGTAACTTGTTATCTTAACAAACCTTTTGAGTGTCTGTTTTCCATTATTTTTCTGTATTTCAGGTTGAAGACGGGGTGACACTGGACTACAGTGTGGAGGGGAAGGCACTGGATGGACCTGCTGCATGTACATAATGCATCTGTCCCACAAGCACAATGGTCTGTGGAAAGACATAATCTAACCTGTATTTTAATCATTGCTGCTGTCAATGATCCCTAATGTTATTTAAATAACCAAACAACGGTTGCTGTAGTTTGCATTTCCGTAGCGTCAGAAGGTTAAACTTGAACTTTACACTCAGGGGGTTGGGATGAGTTGCCACGGTGATACAACCTCATTGGTTGTGTATAGAATTTAATGTAAAGTGATTGTTATAACTATTACAGCTACTTATTGTTATTATTTTTATATGTTTAGATGAACTTTGAGTGCACTTACGTCATAGCTTCTGTTGTAAACCTAAGAAGTGGTAATGAACTGAAGGCTGTGTGTCAGGGTGTGTATACTTGAAGTGATGCAAAGATGGGTGGGTATACTTGAAATCAGAGGAATAGTTAGATTTGAGTCTGTTCTTGGCGTGTTTAAGTCTCTGTCCTTTTGGTGTGCTCCTTTTTAAATTATTCCAACCCTTTCCTTCATTTTGAACTGCTAGAGCCAAAAGACTTTTTGTTTAGGTGGATTTGTGGAGTGGAGCTGGCATGGTAACACTGCATGTGTAATTTGTAGACCATTTTAGACCATTGTCTTTTTCCAAGACTGCCAATTTTTTAAAGGGAACTATATCTCATTTTTAATTATGAATTTCTGAAATACATATTAATCTAGTGTCCTTACAGATGGCATAAAGTTCTCCCTATTCACTTTAATCAAAGTTGGGGCGCTTCTGCCTCAGATTCCCCTTCTACTGAATAAATGCAATGTGTGCACATAAAGAGATGTTTTTGACAAAATGATTTTAGAAAAATTATCTTACTCCTGCTATCTGTTAAAATATAATAAAACTTTACCTTTTACATGCCTCTTTTATTGTAATCGTTCATAAGTATATTGAACACACTTTAATGTATATGATCTCAAGATTACCACAAAGTATTTCATAATCTCTGTTGGTGGATTAGAATCTTTCATCTCGTTCTTAGTATAATTTAGTGAGAAATTATCATTACAGGCAGGCTGACGGCACCTTTAGCTGTGGAATCTTTATTTTAACCATTACTTTACCAGTCAGAAACACAAATAACAATGTTGACCTGGGATTAGTGTGAAGTTGCACAGTTTATAATTAGTTGAGTGTTATTGGGATAAGCCTTTTGAATGCTTTATTTGTAAATACTGCGTGCTTTCAATTTGAAATATAAACTGAAAATGTTGAATCTTTATTATAAATATTTATTAGCGATTGGGGATTGGGGGCAAAAACGTCATAATTAAAGTATGGCTTGCAAGAGTGTTGAACTGTAAACGGTGATCTTTTACCCAGAGCACAATGAAGGAAAGAGGTCCTCCAAAAGGCTGCGAATGGGAATTTATCATACAGCACACAGCAATAGGCTTTGGGGTCCAGAGTTTCTGTTACATCCATGAATAGTGTTACTGATGATGTAGTTTATGATTGAATAATGGAACATCCTTTTGACTATTGTATTGACAGAGAAGGCACTGAAGTTTCTCTAAGTCTAAAAGCAGAAAACATCAGCCATAAAACAGGTCAAAACAAGAGTAATCTGAAGTTATATGGAAAATTCTACAATAATGCAATAATACAATATGCCTGCCCTCTTTCATAATCATTTTAGATATGATGTCACGCATATCTAAGATGAAAATTAAGAGGAAAGATGTGCGTAAAACGGACACTAGATGGCAGGCTTCACTTACAGATGGCCATAGGTGTTCTATAACAATGAATGCAAAATGGTTCCAGGCCCAGTCACATCAAGCCTTACCTATGAACCACTCCAAACAAACACTGGTGGAGACAGAAATGGAGTAGTATCTCTGGTGGAGTATCTCTGCATATTTAAATATTTCTTTTACGCGAGACAAGCGTTAGTCATGATTGTGTTAAAATGGTTCGGAGGTAATAATTACAGTTGTAGAGATCACAAGGTCATGTTTCACTGACCTCCTGTTCGAGTTACTTTGAACTGCATCCAGTCTATAATGAAATGGTGTGAGTGAGACACAATAACGCACAAAAGTACCATTCGTGTCTGCGAGGGAGTTTGGAGTAATTAGAAAGTATTGATGTTACCCCACAATACCATTAGGCCCCAGTATCTGTTGCAGGCTTATTATAGAGTTCAACCATCAGCGCTTTTCACACTGCAGCAGTTTTCGGGAGCCTTGGTATACTTTTTCAGACTCGTAACCAACAGGGCTTACTTGGGTTACCCTTGTCCCACCAGCAACTGCATATGTGGGCTTATGTGTGTTTAGGGAGCCATGGAGAGTACGCCCAGGAACAGCTGACAATTTATGCTGAGGGGCCCCCACATTCTCAGAGGCAAGGGGAGAGAGGAAAGGGGGGCGTAGGGGTGAGAAGGAGCGGACAGTGGGGGAAACGGGGAGCGCGCAGGGGGGAGAGGATGTGCGGCGAAGGTACACACTCCGGGCCCAGGCTGCGAGAATGAGACGGCCGGGGCGAGAGGGGAGAAAGGGGTGGCTGTCTTGTTTGGAGCTTGTCAGCAATTGCTCGAGACAAGCTTCCCCTCCATGTGTGAAAGCTACTTGGCAGGAATGCTTGGACCGTACCAAGTGTGCAGAAACGAGAGGGGGGTGCGCGTAACCACCAGAGGAACACAGAGCCCCGGGTCGAGGAGCCAGGGAGAGTGTGTGCGTGCGTGTGTGTGGCTCAAGTAATCCTTCTACGTTGTCGGCGCTTTGATGCTGTATCTATGTGGCTGTGGGTGTGAATGGGACCGGGGCAGCAGTCTGTATGGATATGCGCTCACTCTCCCCGGCAGCGGCAACAAAAGAGAGGGAATAAGACACCCCTGCCTCCCTCCCTGCTTCTCTCAAGAGAAAGAAAGCCAAAAAGGAAAGATGATGAAACCTGAAGTGGTCCTGCAGTGTGAACTGTGTGGACGGTCTTATCTCTGCGTATCTGAATGCGCCAGCAGCGTGCATGTCTGTCTAGTGGAGGTCGTAAACTAACATTATGTGCGCCTAACCTTCCCTACACGTCCCACGTTATGTGTGCTGCCCCCAGTAGGGGCTGGTATTGTCTTAAGAGTGTATGAGGTCAGCCTCAGTAGCCTGTTGCTCCATATCAGGAGGAATGCAGACTGGTGTATTCTTGTAGGATTCCTCTTCTCTAATTTCATCATTCCCTCTGCTGCTCCAGAACAAACAAACACACACGAATCTATGATACACAATCAGAGCAGACATGTTAACTCTACTCTAGTGTTATTTATTTTAAAAAGGAAACAACCAACTCACTACTGTTCCTCTAAAAGAGGAGAACTTTTCAAAGAGACTCTTCCATCTCTGCTCCTCCCACTTTTTCTTCCCTATACTTCCAAATTTAACTCTTATTCTCAACATCCTTTGTTCACAGATTGCAAAAAGTTGTATTAACATTCTTTACATTTCTTGTTTATCATTGTCATTATTATTTTAAAAAAGACCTACTTCAACTCCTATTTGTGATGATTAACTGATGTAAATGCTCACTTATTTATTTTGTAACAGTTCTAAATATAAAAACATAAAGACAGTAATTTGACACCAGAGGCTATTATGAAATATTCAATAACTCCTCTGTTTAAAAAACATTTTCCACAGTGTGCAGAGTGCAGACATACAACCTGGAGTCTCCTGTGGCCCTCAGGCCCAGTGAAAGACCACTGTACTTTTAACTTTGAGAAGCTAATAATTAAAGAAAGGACTTCTCTTTTCCAGTGACCCCCTGAACATTTTCCTAACAAAAACTTTGCATTTTTTACATTTTATGTTTTTATTATGGGATTTCTTGATGGGTCACTTGGATTAATGTTTCAAAAGTATGCCTGTCAAAAACTATCAATACTAAAACTTGTAGTGAAACTAGATACTCGTTTGTATGCAGGCTGACAAAATTTTACATTCCTGAAGAGCTTTAAAACTAGTATAAGGCTATAACGTAATACTAAAGAAACTGTCTAGTGTTTTTTTAATTACTATGGTATCAAATTTGTTATTGAGTATCAAGGCTTTTCCTTTCGAGTTTGACATTTTAGTATCAAGACAACTGAGTTTTATTCCCCAAGAGCTCAAAATGACATCCCTGATAATGTTACAATAAAAGCAAATTCCAATCTGTGAAAATGTAGGCTAACTGAACTGCAGATTTATTTTTTTCCAAAGCTCTAACTTTAATCTCTGTGTTCTAGTGTCTGCCACATTTACACACAAGGAAGCGATGGCTCTTCTGGTCCTTTCACTCCTGCTCAGCATCTTCGTCATGGCTTGTGGTTAGAAAAATACGAAATAAAGCAGCAAGCAAGAAACAGCATACAATTTTGAATGAATTAGACCATGAATAATTCTCAGGATGTCGAAATGTATTGGGGTGAGGGTTTATATTATGCTGTTTTCTGATCTGGTATAATGTTGTTTTCACATCAAAAGCATACCTGGAGTTGTGGTTAATTTCATTCACACGTTTAAAACACAAACCCTGCATATTTAGGCCCTCTGTGTTCCATCTTGTGATGTCATGGGGCAAAGCAGGAAGTGCTCTACTGTGTTTTCAAACTCTGTACACTTTACACTATACGTACAATAAAATTATTTGGCTCATTTCTCAATAATTACTCAAACATGTGTGACTGAAACAAAACACAACTCAAGGTTTATTTTAGAGAAGGTAACAACATTATAACACGGCTTAAAGCTCACAAGAATCCATTTTGTGTAATGTAGGACCTTTAATGTAATTGGAACAGCACTTACAGAGACGATAGTTCATTAATAGAACACAAATGTGTGGAGTGGGGGCCTGGAAGTCACGTCTTTGCCAGTTGCCACACACCTACGCAGCTTCTACCTGAATGATGTACTTGATGTGCTCATGACCTCATTTACATGTCCCCCTTTGAGGAGGGCTGCACGCTGCAAGAACGAAGGGACGGGACAAGGATACGAGCAGGTGAATTTTTAGCCAAGAGGTGATGATGAAAACTAGATGAGGTAAAAACTCTCGGGGAGGGGATGGCTAAAAGAAGGGGGCAGGAAAGCAGGCAAAATCGGGCTGCGCAGATAAAAGGAGACAAAAGTTGAAAGGTAAGAGAAGGGCGGAGGAGAGGATGGAGGGATGCACGGAGGCAAGCTGGCGGAGAAAGGGAGGGAGGGATGGAGGGAGGGATGGAGGGAGGGAGAGGGAGGGGGTCAGGCCTGATCTCTGGGGCTTGGAGCACATTAGTATTCATGGGGAAGAGGAGGCCACAGACAGCAGTGTGTGTAACCAGGCAGTCCCATGGCTCTCCGCACACATGCCCACACAAAAGCATATAGATACTGGTTATATATCTATTCTGTGTGAGGTTTAATAAACAGGAAAATTGAAAATGAACAGGAGATAACAAGAACATCACAAGACAAGGAGCAGTAAAAGGGCGCAGACCTCCACCAGGGCATTGCAGTACCACCCTGTCACCTGGAGGAGTTGTCATGCCAACGTCACAATTAAGTCACAGACACGCCTCCGAGTGTGACTGGGCAATTGTCTTTTGTTGTTCAAAAATAATATGCGGGGAAAAAAGATCAAATATTGTACTGTCTTAATTTAAATCTGAGAATGAAAGTAAAGCAGTTCACAACCCCACAGTATGAATAAATAATCACGGAAATGGTTTTGATCCTTCTGAAAAATGATCACAATGTTTTATATAAAGTTTTACATGAACATTTTTATTTATGCAGTATATTTTGCATTGTTTTAATGTATTTCACATTCTTGTTTGTACGCTTCAATATGAGAACTTTTGACTTTTCAAAAGATTCAATATTGAGTTTTTAATTGCTATGG